TCTTTACAAAAAATGTAAATCACTGAACAAATACATTTTGCTCACAACAAACTGAAAGAGTGTTTTTCGGCGATAAACAACTTAGAATTTGAAAAGGACTTTGTTTTTCGGCGATAAACAAACAAACACTTCCAGAGGCCGGAAACGGCCGGATCAAGTCCGGAAAAAGACGCTATACCTCGGACTTATTACCGGATCACCCCGGTGCACCCCCGGAAAAAGGACTACTTTACCAAACACCCCCAAAGCCCGGACAAAGTTCCCAAACACCTCCGGAGGCCGGGAACGGCCAGATCAACTTAGAAGTACCGCGGGAACTCCCGCTCTCTGGAACTTCGTTTGGTTCAAGTCATCCATCCAGGACACCCACCATTCTAGCATGAGTGACCGAGAATAGTGCTTCATCATCGGACATGGGCCGGAAACTACCGCCCTATGGAACTTTGTTCTGCTCAAGTCATTCATCCAGGACACAAAATGTACATTTACATACAGAAAAGACAGACCCACTGAATTATTCAGCGTTTTCACACTTAGATTTTTCAAAGGTTACCGAGAAATACACTGTAGGCTACTATCCGATAACACCGTTATTGTAACCAGTAATAATGGTTGATATGATTTGCGAGGCGAACACGTTTTCTAACACAGCCACTGTATGTAATGTCAATTTAGACCAAATGAGTTAATACAACACATTGGAATTGATACACATAACTTGAAAGTCTACCAAAAGTTGATCAAACTCAAAATGACTGAGTCATTATGGCTGCAGTGTATCACTCAAGTAGCTACAACCTTCTATGCCATTTAAGTTGGGTTAGGTTACTTCTTTTATTAAGATGAGCTGGTAGGTTTTACAGTGTACAAAAAGTAGAGAGAAAAAACTCCCTTCTGTCTGTGTGGATCCATGTCTGCCTGGATCCACCTCCTTTCTGTCCCCTCTTAGAGGAAAGGGTGGTGGGGAAAAGAGCCATGTGGGGCCACTGGCCGATGACCAGTCGTCCCAGTCCAGGCTGAAGGGGCAGCAGCTTGGCCATACTGGGTGAAAATGGTGTGTATGCTAGTCCAGTTATTTATCACAATTCAAAAACGACGAAATGTATTCATGGTAATAAAGGACCCGGATCAATTGTGATGTGTTGCTTGTAGTGACACACCCGAAGATAATCATGTCTAACTCTCCAAGGTTTGTAGCGTCTTCATGTTCATTGTTTTGCCTCAATAGGCCAAACTACTGTTTTGGTTTTGGTTCACTTTCACATGCTCGCCTCATTTTCTATGAAAGCAGGTGTGTGGTTTCAGTAAAAAACTCAGCCTGGCACCAGCAACAGACAGAAGCTAGCTGCTACCGTTGACTTAGGAACATAGTGAAGCATGTATCTGCTAAAAAGAGATATTCAAAGAAAGAAAAAAAGCTAGTGGTCTATATCGCTAGTTTAGTGGCTCTGATTTGTTCAGTGTCATGGAGAGGCTGAATAGGGGAGATCATTTGCGGACGCATTTCCTTCTTTGAAATCCTGATCCAGTAACTGCGTTTCTTTTGGTTTTATTTAGGTATATTATACAATGAATCAAGCATCGGTGTAGAATACTTCGACGGAGTTTTTGCGGTCAACAAAATTTAAAACTCTCACCCCCTTTCTTTTTCATTTCCTCATTACTCTGATAGAGAGCACCAAACACACATTGTTGTAGAACACAGTAGTTCAGAACCTGACTTTAGACACCAAGGAGTTAAAAAAAAAAGAAAACCCAGTCATGGAGCATTGACACAACTTTATTAATAAATCAGCAAGCAAAGCATGTAAAATACAATGTAAGTAGGCTAAGAAACCAAGACAGGCATGGATAAAAAAAAATGAAAGTGGAGATGCGCATCGGAAGCCTTGCCAACGTCTGTAAACAGCGACTGAGAGAACAAAGAACAACGAAAAAGGAAAAAAACAAGCAGCCGTAAAAGAGGCGGGCGAGACGAGTGTGGGCTGAGGTTGATGTTTACGTCCACACATTGGAGACATTCACAAGTGTCTGGTCGAGTTGTGTGAGAAACTGCTGTGGCGACAGGGGGAGAGGTGCTGGACTGGTTTGTGAGTGCAGATGCTGCAGCTGTGTGTGACACTACAGAGTCAAAAGGTAATGCTGGTGACGGGTTAGTACTCTGCTCTCTTTGCTCTCCTGCAGCCAAGACCCTGGCAACCCTGAGAACACTGAGCGAAGGAGAGAGAAGGTCCCCCCTTCATCTACCCGCCCGCACACACACACTCACTTATCATTACTTTTTCTGCCTCCTCGTCTCCAGTGGCCAACAGAGGTGCGTAAATGTGAAAAATGTACCAAGGCACCCAACTTTATTCTGATCCTTTGTCGGTCAAATAAACAATACAGAGGAACACAATGTTCAACGTGATCTCCAAAACCTGTTCATAAAAATGTATACGAAAATCTTGAACATACAAATTTGTAACAATACATACGAACGCCCCTTGAGTGAACAACATGGCGGACCATGTCGGATTCTTGAGTGAACATCTCTCCGCCATGTTGGATTTTTTGAGGGGGTTAGGGTTAGTATTGTATTCTTACAATTTAACATTGATTTCTCGTTAAAAATGCAATCATAACACGTTTATTTTACATCGTTAGAATTCACAAAGTGTGTTTACGGGGTGCAGGTCCCCATTCACTTTGAATAGGGTGACGTCATCAGTTGCAGTCCGTATTTATTTCGTATGTATCACTACGAATTTGTATGTTCAAGATTTTCGTATACATTTTTACGAACAGGTTTTGGAGATCAGGCTGCAATGTTCACTATATTTTTGGGTTAGGGTAACATTTCATTATAGTATTATAGTATCGAAAGTTTAAAAAAGTTGAACGTGGCCTGAAGGTATTATTGTTATATGTTATACCGAGACTAAGAAGTATTAGACTCCTTGTAGACTCTTGAGCTACTAGTTTTTTGATATGACAGTGAGATTTAAAAGTTAGCTCACACTGAATGTTGTCTGGTTGTAGCTATGATGTTCACGTTTTCTGAGGATGAAAAGTGTGCCAATCAGCCCCCCAGTGTCCCCTACATTGGCCCCCCTTTCTGTAAACTCATAGTTCACCCCATGTGAGGGATTTATTTACGAAAACATGGGGTCAGGGAGGTCAACAGGGGCCCAGGATTATCTAGCCATGGTGTTCACTGGAAAAATATTTCATCACTACACTTTGGCTTTCATACAGGGCTGAATATTTGTGTTTTCTTTATACCGAGCTGAGCAGAATCAAATCTGAGACATCAATGTTAAATATAGAGCCATGCTATGTTCTTTTGTTTATTTTGCTTGGAATTATAGGAGAAATGTTCTCTAAGGATTGTAGATGTCTACCTCTTCTGCACAGGCCTTTCTTTACTATTTATTCATGTACTTTTTTTGTTGATACTTTCTCTTTTGTAGATATCTTTCTTTTTTAGTCCTTAGTATTCTATCTCAGCAAAAAACAAATCATGTTGATCTTTAACTTTAAATTCATCCACCCAGACATTAGAAATTGAAGATGAGGATCTAAGATTAGCCTTAACACCTTGGGGAAACTATTTAGCATCTAGTGTGTTTAGCATCTGCTTATTTTAACCACCAGGAGGCATATCGTCTGTAATATTAAGTAAAACAAAGTTTCAAGATTAAAAAAGTGCAACCGCTGAAAATATAACCATCATGTTTGTATACAAAATACCTCTAGTGCCAAGTGGTGTACTCTGTCAGGCTTTCAGGCCACTATTCTCATTGTCATGTCCAACCACTGTGTTGTTTTTCATACTACAACGATACTACCGCTGAGTAGTTTTCCATACTACCACTGAGGTGTGCTACAGTTACACATTTCTTAATCCTACTCATAGTGGTTTTGAAGATCCTTGACAAATTGTTGAATCTGTCATGTAAATTAGTCTGGAAACTCTGAAGTATTCTTGAGGTATAACTAAGCACAGACAGTGAAGTGAAGATCGGTGACGGAGGTTGAAAGCCCTGCAGCAAAGAGACATTGATCATCTAACACAATAACATCTCAGCTGTGACACGGAGCCTTGGTTTACTCTCTCCAGGTTTGGCTTTCCCCTCTTCACACTTGCTGCAGCATCCGCGTGTCTACCTGGCTCGCACACACTGCTAATGCACTCAGTTGCGGGGTTTGACCGATATTCGGACGGAGGGCAGATATTGCTGTCTGTAAAACCTGTAATTGTCTTTGGGCAGCTTGTTCAGTTATAAAGTAATCACCATCATGATGGACCGGGGATGAGTAGTGTCCAGCTGCTGTGCCTCGGCTGTCTCAATTCCTCATTTCATGCAGTAATGTAGTCCAGTTTGCTCACAAACCTGTGTGTGTGTGTGTGTGTGTGTGTGTGTGTGTGTGTGTGTGTGTGTGTGTGTGTGTGTGTTTGTGTGTGTGTGTGTGTGTGTGTGTGTGTGTGTGTGTGTGTGTGTGTGTGTGTGTGTGTGTGTGTGTGTGTGTGTGTGTGTGTGTGTGTGTTTGTGTGGTCTGACTGGCAAAAATACCAACCTCTAAATCTTTTCATCAGCCTGGGCCTCTCTGCAGAGGGTTAGTGTGTTGTGATGGTGTCAATGTTTCAGAGGGTTTACCCACCTGACAACCAAAACATCCGCGAGCGTCACTGAGGCTGTTTACAGATATTTGTGGCTCATCAACACAGAAGAATAATAAGTCAGTGATGTGTCTTGGTTCTCAAGGCTGTGTTGTTCTCTAGAGAGTGGAGTCCAAGAGAATTTGGGCCAGTTTATGTGTTGTTATGCCTCTGTGTTGAAATTGTGGCGTGGGTACGGTGGAGTGGGCCCGGAGCCGAGCGTCTCCTCTCTAGTCCCCGCCAGAGTATCAGGCCATAAAGCTGGGCCGGCTTGGGGTGAAGGGAGGCACGGGGGAACAAGAACCAGGAATAAACAGGCGAGCAGGTGTTTTCTAAGGAGAATAAAACGTACTAGTGATTAATTTGGTATATGTTGGAATCACTTTTTTATCCATGTGAATTTGTGAGCATATTAATATAAAAATAACTGGCTTTGTAACTGGCTTTGACATTTCAATATTTGAAATATCACAAATATCTGCATGTAGGATATACACATTTACTCAGTATTTACACATATACTGAGTAAATACACATACTCAATTTGTACACATAGACTGAGCATATACACCTTCACCCAGTTACACAAATACTGAGTATACACAGCTTTACTCAGTGTAAACACATATCAGCAGTGCGAGCCTAGTGTGGAGTAAGGGGCTGAGAGAGGTTTGGTTGATCTACTGATTGAGACATTCAACAGCATCTGTAATGAATCTGCAATCATTTTGATCATTCCACGAGGGCGGGACTTTTGATAATGTGGTGACTTAAGACATGTTGCAATCTGGGGAAAAAGTCTCGTCCTGTAATCCCGCTCTCAGACTGTAACCATTGAATTTAGGAGACGTAGGAGCGTGTGGAGGATCAGTGGGGGGTGGGGAGGGTGGAGGGTCGGCCGCTCCTCACAGGCAGAAGTCAAAGGTCAGGTCGGACTTGCCCATCTTCTGTCTGTACACGGCGTCAAACTTCTCGTTCATGGACACCGTAAAGACGTCCTTCCACAGACCTGCACGACCTGCAGGGGGGACACACAGGGAGGGGGACACATTGAAATGCCATGTAGCTGAAAATGATACAGCAGCCAAGACACGCTGATTCTTTGATCTTAGACAAAGCTGGATTACTCAAAGCACCCGGTACCTGTGTGAATGCTTTATTAAGCTTAGTCAATAGAGAGTTTGTACAGGAATAAGAGCAACTGATGCACCACATCACCTGAAACGATGAAGGCCTTAAGGTGGGTTCTGCTTGGTTACCGGCTCCCTAAACAAATATGTAGCTTGTTTCATCAAATGACCACGCAGCAAAAAGCTGAGCTCAGGGCACACAGGGTCTTTCTCGGATGGATGAAAAATATCTCAAGTGTCACGCTCAGTTTTGAGAGCCTAGGAAATGATTAAATAAACCAAGACGAGAATGGCCGCCCCTGCCATTAAATACTCAAAACAGCGTATTTTAAAGCTTTTAGGCTTCAGTTTACCGTCATCTACAGAGTTGTCATTGTAGGAGTTTCACATCTTACGGATCCTGAACGGTGAGATTTACTAGAGCAAGCACGTATATTAAATAATGAATTATTTTGATTTTATTAGTTAACTAAAATTTGTTAAATTCTTGAGGGGAGCTAGAATTGATAAGAATGCTTGTTTTTCATTAAGCAGAATGAATGAATCAAGTCTATCATCTTCCCGCATGAGGAAGGTGGTGCGAGAGCCAGGTACACTCGGAGGACTCGGTGAGTGCAGCCTGCCGTCGCTCTGACTCACCTGCTGAAGGTTACAGATGTGTGAGACAGATCTGACAGTCTGCTGTCAGCTGTGTGTTAAGCCTATGAGCGCACCAGACCCCAGACTTCCATGCACAAAAGAAAAGAAATCAGATGGTGAAACTGAAAAGAAAAACAACAGAAACCATAAGTAAAACATATGAAAAAAAATAGGAAGGGTGACACAAACCCAAAGTGAATGAATGATCAGGGGAGAAACATAAACGACTCATTGAGACTGGTTATGCTGCGCGTTGTGCTGTTATGGTGACAGGCACCACCTGTGAGAAACCAAGTCAGAATTCAGTATTGCGTAGATTTGTTTTCTAAAAATGCTAAAGCTAAAAAATGTAGTAAACCTACATTGTAGGTCTATATTTAAAAGAGAGTGTGTCACACTGCTCATGAGAACCACAGTCTAAAGCGGAGGGCAACTGACTGGTTGGTATTTGACAGACAGCTTTGTTATATGGTTTTACTCCTTGACTCCTTGAAAATTGTCCTTGATATAAATGGTGTATATTGCTCATTTGTATGTATTCTGAGAAGCATTGAAAACCGTAACTCCAGAATCTTTATGTCCAAAATTGCCCATAAGTGTGAATGATGCCAATGTAATCTCCATACAGCAGAACGAGATTGATTATACTGATCAAAGAATGTTTCTATGCCTTGGAAAGTACCCCTGCAAGTGTAAACAAATAAAATAAAATCCAAAAGCAGCTTTGAAAAGTATCCTGAAACCAACAGCCAGACGATCCTGAAACAACCGGAAAAGTAATAGAATGACTGAACATGGAACTGAATGGTTCTCTAAAATGTATGAATTGAAGGTCATCGTGGCGGCTTTTATTTTTTGATAGTTTTGAAGTAGTCATGTTGCTTAAACCTAACTATGTTGTCCTACAGAAAGATTCTCCTTACGGAGAACAAATAAGAAACCATCTATTAGGCGTAACCACAGTGGGGATTTCATTCAGTGTTCAGCGGGGTATAACTTGTGTTTATTGTGAACTGTTTATTGTTTGGTGCATTTGAGTAATTTCTGACTGCCAAATCAATTTATCATGTGCTAGTTCAGTGAAGTCTACTTGATCTGGAACATGCCATTTTATATTTTTATGAGTACATTTTCTCCACATTCATGTTCAGACTGAGAAAATAATTCAGGGCAGGTCAGTCCATGCCAATTTCCACAAAAGAGCAGGTGTAATGGCTGGAACATGCACATTTGGGTATAATTGAGAACTGCAGTGAGCTTGTGTTGATAGTTGGCTGATAGTTTGCAGGCTCTGTGTTTGCATCTGGCCTCAGACGCATATTAGTTGTTATTCCCGACGCTTCTCATCGCTAACGTAACTCCAAAATAACTCTACAACCCTTTTGGGTGTGAACAGTGTTGAAAAATCTATTGTTTTTTCAGAATGGTCTCATCCAGCGATACCTATAAAGCAAGGCGTTTTTACATTTGTAGATGTCGCCCATTTTTCCGCATGATATCCATGTAATCTTGAAAGAGGTAGAAAATATTACTATATCAGACAGCGGGAGGGCAGGAGCCCTGCTTACTAAGCAGTCTTTGCCTAATTGAGTTTCCTTTAAAAAAAGGAAATTTCTTTTGAAAACACAGTATGCATGCAATTAGTGGGTATTGACTCAGGGCTTTTGAAGTAAAATGCACCAAATATAGGCAGTAACTTTCCATAGGATACCATAAAATAAGTGAAAGGATACATTGGTTTGTTCATGGGGAGTTTCTTCAGTCTGTATAATACTGCCTTTCTGAGCGTCTGATAATGAGGCTTGTGGTGTTTTGCATACGGATACTAGTGCCTTTGTGATTCATTATCAGGAAAGAGGAACCAAGCATTGATGTGTCGCTCCTCCTCTGTTTCCTCTCCCACTCACCTCTGCAGATGGACAGCGCCTCCGAGCTGCTGCACTGCTCAATGAGCTGGTTGCAGCTCTCCACCATGCCCTCCAGCTGGGCCTTGTCGCAGGAAACCCCCAAGAACCGGGCTAACTGTTCAACCAACTTCCCTGGGTCCTGGAACGCCCGGAGCGGTTGGGGAAGAGGTTAATGAAAAAAAAGAATCTATAAAAGCAATAATCCCAGGCAAATACAGAAAAAGCTGTCTCTCTAATGAATTGTTGAATAACAAAAGCCTGTGATTCTGTTTCCCCGAACAGCATCCACCCACGGCTGTTGAGAACACACAGTTCCCAAAGCTTACACAATCTCAAGTGTGTCAATTTTATAGCTCTGGGCTGTGTTCTCCTAAAACAGTGATGGAAATTCCAATCAATTTAGTGGCATGAGTTTTAAGAAGACATTTAACAAGCTTTCGTTTAGGTCTGCAGCCATGCTAGCAGCTTGAGGCTGTTGTAGGCACAGCGGGGCTTTGAGCTGCTAACGGTTCAAACAATGGCAACGGTTCTAGACGTAACAATGTTTCCCTGAGGGGTTGAGACAATAGCATGTAGAATAGCCTACATCTCTTTTTTGGAGGATGAATAACCTGTAATGTTTCAAACAGCGTACACTATGCATCTGTAAAACGAAGGTGGATTTTTTTTTTCTTTTTTTTAAATACCAAAAGCATACTGAATTGTTACTTCTCTCTTCAGTTCTAATAAATCTTTTCCTAGAAAAAGGAATCTGAGCGGACACGGTTAGGTCTGTGCCTCGTAAATGTGACTACACTCCTGATAATGTGAAAAGGGACCTTTGGCAAAGCAGAGGGCAAATGCTTATTGATTATGTTTTTACACAACACTGGTTAGGATACACAAGTCTACATTGTGCCGAAAGAGGTATAAATTGAGAGATGAAATAGGTCATGGCTGTGGGTGATGATGGGAATGGGATTCCTTTTCCTGCATAAAACTTTGTCAGCAGATGTTGATTTGGTTATGGCTGGAAGTGGAAAAAGAGTCAGAGGAACCCTGCATATGACATACTGTCGAAGAACAAACACGCAAAGGGGTTGAAATAAGCGAGTGGTAGTGAAGACTTTACCTTGTACATGTCTTCATATTTCAAGAAGAGGACATTAGAGTTCATTCGATGTTCCCAAAATTCCTGAACATGTTCAAACCAAGAACCATATCCCACTTTGAGAGAGAGAGAGAGAGACACTCAGAGCTGCTGGATGAACTGTCAGTAGTCTGGAGACAAAACACCAATGGTTACTGACTGGGAGCTCACGGCATACTTACGCTTGTCGTTCATGAACCGCCGGCAGAACTCTTGGAAGGTTCCCCGGTAGCTCATGGTCCTGAGGGAGCGGTGGAACTGGTAGTAGGACACCACCAGGTCCTTTGGGTTACGAGCCATGTATATCACCTGGAAGAGGTGCACAGTCATACACATGAAATACAGCTGCTGGAGTACAGTCCTGTAGAGAACGGTACTCTGACTGTGCAGTCCTGTAGAGAACGGTACTCTGACTTCTAACATGCATCACTGATAGATCTGAGATTATCCAAAGGAAATCTAGTACAAACACTGACTAAAAAGTCCCTGCAGAGTAGATCCCAGATGAGTACTTGGACTACTTCACCTCACTCTAACAGGGACACTTGCTACCAATCATAGATTACTGATCAATTCTATCCATCCATCCATCTGCAAATCGCTTATCCTGCACACAGGGTCACGGGGGGGCTGGAGTCTATCCCAGCCAACTTCAGGCGATAGACGGGGTACACAGGTCACCAGCAAATCGCAGGACTACACAGAGACATACAACCATTCACACTCACATTCACACACCTAAGGGCAATTTAGAGTCACCAATCAATCTAATCCCCAGGGGCCGGTATTTCAAAACTTGTAATCCAGATCAGAATGATCCGGATAACCAAATCCCCCTGTCCTCAGGCACGGATCAACTTGATCTATCCCGGTATTTCAAAACTTTGCCGGATTGGATCAGAGTGATCCTGATACCGGTAGATTGGGATGTCCAAATCCGTCCCGCCCCCTGGATCACAGGCAGGAAACAGGAAATGGAGCGAATATGTTACAGAAAAAAAGAGAAGCTGGCACAACTATTGTCTCTAAATGTAAGTATAGTCTTGGTCAGTGTTGATGCGTCCTAAGACTAGATGAAATGCAATCATTATATTGAGTTAACCAGCTACGTAAATCAGCTCAAAGTTTGAGAGAAGAGCTTGGCAATCTCAAATAAAGCAGAGTTCGCGCTAATGCGAGCTAACGCTGCTTCATTGACTTCTGTGTTAAGGAGCTAACAAGTTGGTAAATAGCCTATCGTCTGTATGTTGCGGCCCACAGTCCACATTTGAATGCATTTACTCGCAAGGCATTGTGAGTAGATTTTAAAAAATGTTGTACAAACAGTTGTCAACTAAAGGGACAGGCCTAAAACCTTCATATTTGTTTTTCTTTACAGATGTCTGTGGAAAGAGAAGACAGCCAGTTAACACAGACCTGCTCCAAATGGCATAACCTTTTGAGCTTTGGCTATGAAAATGAAGTGTGTGTGCTGCATGCATGTTAATAAATACATTTGACTGGTTTGAGTGAAGGCCTTTGTCAGTGGGTATAACTTAACAAAAAACTGTTACTTAAATAAGGCATCCATCTTCAAACTTAAACATAGAAATAGCATTTTTGTCAAACAAAAGCACCAGGCCTTATCATTAATCACCAATGCTGATGCAGAAACAGTATTACTGAACTGTTCAATGTTATGAGCTATAACCCATCATGAAAAATACTGTAATGAGCTGAGTTAATGTGTCCCTGTTATTATGAGTTCTTCAGTTATGCAGATGTTGCATGTGTTGCCGTTATTCACTAATGTTACCAGCAGAGGTCAATGTTGTTATATGAGACCTATTGAGGTGGGGGGGATTGTCTCGCGAGAAAACGCAAGTTCTAGGCGTTTTGTACGCCGTGGTCTCGGCCAACAGTCACCGGAGTTAAGCTGTGTTCCCTAAATAAATGCACCGAAGTTGCAAGCCGGGGCAGCACGGTGGCGTGGTGGTTAGCACTGTCGCGTCACAGCAAGAAGGTCCTGGGTTCGATTCCGCCCAGTGGCCTTTCTGTGGGGAGTCTGCATGTTCTCCCCGTGTCTGCGTGGGTTCTCTCTGGGTTCTCCGGCTTCCTCCCACAGTCCAAAGACATGCTCTGGGGATCATGTTATTTGGCGACTTTAAATTGCCCGTGAATGTGAGTGTGAATGGTTGTATGTCTCTGTGTAGCCCTGCGATTGGCTGGCGACCAATCCAGGGTGTACCCTGTCTATCGCCCGAAGTTGGCTGGGATGGACTCCAGCCCCCCCGCGACCCTGTGTGCAGGATAAGCGGTTTGACAATGGATGGATGGATGGATGGAAGTTGCAAGCCAGTCATCGCCTCCTTATTTACGCTGCAGCACTGGGGTGAGCGTTACAATACAAATTCACCATGGCATTTCTAAGTGCTCTTCCTGGTGGTTCATCGGCTCGATGAGGTGGTGGCTGCAGCTGTGGTAACTGCAACTGTTCACAAGTGGCGGCCTGTCCTAGATTTCTTCATTAAGTGGAACTCTTCTCATTTGTGCAATGTTGTGAAGAACAATGCAGGCAGATATTATATTACAGGCCTGCTTCGGCTCCACACGAAGATAATTCAGGCAGGCAAATCTTTGTTTTAGAACACCATTGATTCTCTCAATTGTTCCCCTTGTTGCAATGTGCGAATTGTTGTACCTCTGCTGTGAGTCACATGTGACAGTAGCAAAGGGGGTCATAAGCCAGCGTAGAAGTGGGCAGCAACTGTCACCCAGGAAGATACCATCCGGAGCAGTTTGGTGAAGTCTTCTGTAGAGATGACCTTCTCTTAAAATCCGTGCATCATGTACAGAACCAGGCCATCTCACAACACAGTTATTTTAAGGTCAGCATTTCCCATGAGCTGCACATTAATACTATGGCGTCCCTTTCTGTTCACAAATTCCCATTCTCTTTCATGGGGTGCCTGAATGTGTATGTGTGTGCAGTCAATGACACCAATAGTATTGGGCATCCTGGCAATTGAGAAGAATTTTCTCTTAGTTTGTTATTTCTTCCTCATTATCCCGAAACTCACAAACTGATAAATTAGACCAGCCAGGGCTGATGCCACTGAATGCATTACTTGTCCCACTGCACTATGTCACAGCCAGGCCATCTGCAATTACTTCATAAAAAGATCCACAAGCAAAAAAACGTAGGGCAATAAGCACCTGCTGCTCCACAGTTAAGGCATGACTCCTTCTATTAGGACGTTGTAGATGTGGCCGTAGAATATCACATATATACAAAATAGGAGGACATGTACAATGGATGTCATGTTGCAGAAGCAAAGGTCATTGACCTTAACGAGTCCAGTTTTAAAGTCTGTGACCTGTGCGTTTACACCTGCTTTCAATTTAGCTTTATGGTATTTAAGGCCTTCCTTAGTGATAGGGCTTTCTCAGACAACATGGAGAAGAACAAAGAAAGCAATTTCACCACAGCAGAGACAACAGCACTTCTTGAGGGTGTTCATACAAATTATCAGGCCCTTTTTGGAGGTTTTAGTGGCCCTGGACAGAGTTCTCTGTCAGCCAAACTTAAAAATAAAATATGGGCTGACATAAAAAAGCAAGTTAATGCCACTGGTTGTGGCCAACGGCGGAATGTTGAACAGGTTCGGCTTAGGTGGAAAAACCTGAAGCAGAAGGCTACCAAGGACCATTCAGCAACAAATCATTTTCACAAATTAAACTGACACTGCTTAAACAAGAAGAAGTTAAGTTAAGAATTCAGTTGCTGGAAAAACAGTAAAAACATTAATGAAATGTACTTTATGTTTAACACTGAATGTTAAATAAATCGCAAAGTTTTTCCTTCATAATTTTGAGTTATTTTGAGTTTGTCATGTCACTAAGTAATAGCCTAATGTAAATTCTGTGTTGCACTTCTGACGCCAATTGGTTAAAGCATTGCAGTGAACAGCGTGCATGTTGATCACGTGCTTAATTGGTAAAAATGGTTAATGTACTGCCGGATTTATGTTGATGTGTATTAATTGTTTTGGCGACTAATACATTGTATGTTTTTTTTTACTTCAGTTTTTCCCAGTGTTTGCTGAAAAAGAAAGGAACGTGCAAAGAAAATGAACAATGATCAGACAGCAGTGAAGCATAGCTAATGTATCAAACAAAGAACTTTGGGAGCAGTTACATTTAAACTGTTCAAACCATAACATGTAATCTCCCTCAAATCCACCACTGAGGTGGGATCAGGGTAATCCTGATTTTTAGGATCAAACTGATCCAGATTTCCCACTAAAGTTTTGAAATACTCAACAGCAGTGTTTTATCCGGATCAAAGGCAGGATTGGATTACCAAATCTGAATCTGAATCTTCAGGATCAGATTTGCTTTGAAACACCCGTTTTTAGGATCTGATCAGGGTTTAATCCAATCCAGGAGGATTAATTCTGTGGGATCATTTGAAATACCGGCCCCTCCAGAGCATGTCTTTGGACTGTGGGATTAAGCCAGAGAACCCACGCAGACACATTGTTGAACCAGGTGCTGGTTAGGAGCCAGAGCTAGAGCCGGTTTGGAGTTGGTTCAACTGACGAGCCTCCAAAGAACCGGTTTGCTTTTCCACAGGCTAAAGAGCCAGCGCAGAGCCTACGTCACAGTTACGTCTCATCTTTCCCAAGCAACGTTAGCGCAGCGCCAAACACAAACACATCATCAGCAATGGCGGACGTTGCTTTGCTATTGATGTTCATGGCTTTGCTACATCGACATCCAAACTCGGCGGATTAAACATGTTCACGCGGCTCGCCTTTATTTGTACAGACGGAGATTACAAGTGAGAGTAACGGTATGCACAGTATGAAAATGGCGGATCACAAAGTTTCTCTCGTCTTGTTGGTCACAATAAACCCCGCTCCCAGCCGCTGACGTAAGCGGTTCTTACTTCTAGACCAGCAATAATATGGTGCTACTTAAGAACCACTTTTACTGGTTCGGAGCTGGTGCTTTGGTGGTGGAAAACCAAAGAACCGATTTGAAACTAGGCTCTGGCTCTGAACTAGCACCAGTTCTGCCTTGGTGGAAAAGGGGTAACATGCAGACTCCACACAGAAAGGCCACTGGGCGGAGTCGAACCCAGGACCTTCTTGCTGTGAGGCGACAGTGCTAACAGTGGACGGCAGAGCCACCACACCACCGTGCCACCCTACTGATAAATTCCATCCATCCATCCATCGTCAAACCGCTTATCCTGTATACAGGGTCACGGGGGGGCTGGAGTCCATCCCAGCCAACTTCAGGCAATAGACAGGGTACACCCTGGATTGGTCGCCAGCCAATCGCAGGGCTACACAGAGACACACAACCATTCACACTCACACACCTACGGGCAATTTAGAGTCCCCAAATAACCTGATCCCCAGAGCATGTCTTTGGACTGTGGGAGGAAGCCGGCCTACTGATAAATTGATATATTATATTAAATGGACTGTTTATGCTGCTTCCTGATCAATGCAACATGTTTATGCCGGTAGAGGTTTAGTTTTATGAATGTAAACTTGCCCTTTATAATGTGATGATTTTGAATTGTGTAACAATAGATTCATAACAAACAATTCAATAAAAATACATACAAAACATATACAGTATATTCATATACTTCTAGTTTTATTTTTCCTACTTATTCTATATTCTCTATTGATCTCAATACTCGCCCTACTTTAGTGTTCTGCCTGAACTAAGCTGATGGTGTTGAATGCAGTCAGAGTCCAAGCCAACATTTTTATACACTAGGGCGGATTGGTGTACGTGATGTCACGGTGGTCTGACCTTGGCCTCTCCGTTGTGCATGGCTGTGGGGAGGAATCGATAGGGAAGATGGCTTTTGATCAGACGTGGGGATGTCAGCTCCTGTGGAAACACAAAGGAGGTTGTTTCTTTAGTCTGACATCCGTCTTCTCTTATCAGTCTTGCAGGATGCGTTGTGGCTGCAAAGTGTGTCATATCTTTAAAAAAAGTCACAGAGCCTAAATGTATAACCCTGCTTCTAGTAAAATTAGGTCAACGTTTAAGTTTTAGGAATATGCTTGCTCAATGCCTTAGTGGATCTCAATGATTTCTGTTCAGAATTGAAATCAATTACCACTCTACATCACAACGTGTCTTGATCCCAAGTTTAATCATTAAAAAATATTAAAATTATTCTTAGACAGCGATTTTTGTGGATACCATAAGGTCCGCTAGATTTTGATTTTAATTCTCCAATATGACAAACCCCAAGTTACATTCATATCAACGTCACGACCGGACAACCTGAACCCAAACGCACAACTCCCGAGACGAGGTTCAAAATCAAAGTTTATTTACCAAAGGACACAAATCTAGACAGTAAACACTAGGCTGACAAATGAATGAACAGAAAGCGAGCCTGAACAACGTACAAAAAAACGTAGCACGACTTGGCAACAGACATGGGTAAGTTCTCTGTAACAGGAGACAAGACGAACTGGCACAGGACAAAGGGAGACGCAGACAATATACACACACAAACAAACAATCAGGTGAAGGGCAGACAATCAAATCGGCACACGGGGGGAAGAAGAAAGTTGCCTGAAAGATTAATTTTCAAAATAAAACAGGAAATCACAAGACAACATAGACTACTAGATTAGCACCGCTTCTCGGACATGACAATCAACGCACACACCAAGATAAAATGTGCTGCCAGGTCAGCAAAACATATATAATAATAATAATAATAATAATACATTTTGTTTCTAATGCACTCTTTGTGAACAAATCTATGCCATAGAGCCAGCAAAACAAACTAGTGAAAAATATAGAAAAAACTTCACATAGAGTAGAAAATGCCTCCTGAATAGGAAGTCCAGTGACTGTGCTGCTTTTAGGTGGTCAGGGATGGAGCTTGGTGTTGGGGACTCAGAGGAGCGTGCAGCTTGCAGATCTGATGGTGCATGTGGAGGTTTGGGGAGTAAGTCGTTCAAATAGGGAGGTGCCTGTCCATTTATGAGTGAGTAGTAGTAGGAGAACTCAATTCGGAATGAGACAGAGAGTCAGTGTAGTGGATATAGGATAAGTGTTGTGCTAATGTGCTAATTTTTCGGACTCTCATCAGGATCCTGGCAGCGCTGTTTTTGATGTATTGCAGTTTCTGGATATTCTTACGAGTGATCCCAGTGAAGATCGAATTACAGTAGTCCAGTCTTGAGGAGATAAATGCATGGACAAGCTTCTCTGCATCTGACAGAGTCAAAGTGGGGCGAAGATGTTTTTGACATGATAGAAGAAGGTTCTGCACAGGTATTTGATCTGGTCATTTAAGGTCAGATTGTGGAGGAGAGGGAGGAAACTGTCACAGGTGTGATGGGTTATGTAGGGCTTCGGTTTTGCAACTGTTTAGCAAGAGAAAGTTGTGGCTCATCCATGCCTTTACCTCTCCAAGAAGAGGCATTCCCACAATAACTTTACCAGACACAATGGACCCAGAAAGTCCTCTGCAGTCTTGAGATCTTGAGTGAACTAAAGAACTGAGTGAATGCTACCCTGGTTTAGGCTGCAGTACCTGTATGATGTCCAGGCCGGGTTGGGGGTACTCCAAGACAGGCAGCTGTTCGTCGATGTTCATAAGGCCAATCTCATCCGGGTCTGCTCCCTGACTCACCAGATACACAATCTCCTGAAGTAGACTGGTTCCTAGCAGGAGAAAGTAGAGGCACTACTTACAAAGTGTACAAGGAAAGTGGTTGTACAAAAGGTCACCTTAAAGTTCAATTAAACTAAAGATTGTCTGTGTTGTCCCTATGATTAATTTGGGTTTTATCTGATATTCTGCACGCAAGTTTTGGGAAGATACAAGTTAAACTAGCTAACAGAATGATAGCTGGAGGCCGCTGTCAGAACACCCATGTGAAACCTGAAGAATACTGAGCACAGGTGCCACAACTCACAAATTAAACATTACAAGCTTCTTTTTAAAAAGCTATTAACCTGAAAAACTGCCCATACTAGCCCTATGAATGACCGTTCTAAGAGAAAGATGACGTGTGCATGTGCGTAGCCTCAAGCTGGCCACATGCTGGCTGGCTGTGAAACCACATAAACCATGCAAGATTGGTCAGTTTTTGCAATAAAAGAAACGTCTTATCAGTCATTCTGCACTAGTCATGATGTAATTGTCATGCACGAAAGGTCTCGGTTGTATTCCTTTGAGACCAGCAGAACAGATTTACTTGAATTCTTGGTAGTGTTTGGGACTCCGTGTTCCCGATTTCAGACAGAGGCAGACAAAAGCAGCTTCTCGTTTCCGTGTCCTTTTACAAAGCTTACAGCTGATCCATATTAAAACAATAACCCTGTAAAAGTGAATGTAAATATTCAAAATATACATTTGTATATATTATTGGTGCATATGTTTCATATAATGTTATTATAGTATTTGAAAGCGAGACATGACTGATGAAATGCTGTCAAAACAGTCATCAACTCGCTGTCGCCATGAACGTTAGGGCACGTAAGAGTAGAAATGATTACAATTATTGAGTGTCAGGAAAGTCTAAATCAGTCCTGACTGCGCATTAGCATGAAGCCTCTCTGGATGGAATGGGAGAATGCAAAACAAATACATCTATGCTCGCAGAGAAAAAATTAAACAGAAGGAGAAGCAGCACTTGATCATGCTGATTCTTGTCATCAAACCCTTTGACACCTCTATTGATTTTGGCCTGCAACTCCTCATTTTCAGTATTCGGGTATTGTTATGATATAACGTCAATCACCAAAAGGTCAATTTCTACCTGTGAAAAACTAGGTTTTTTTCTCTACATATCTTTTATTGAACACATTGCGTGTGATACAAAGGTAAAGTAAGCAGAGGAAAACATAAATAGAATGGGCAATGTATTGTGGCTGACTGGCATCAGCCAGATTGCAGATTATCAATTAGCTCAACAGATGCGCAGATTACTGCACTATTTATTGGAATTTGGGGAGTAGCTGTCATCTGTTTTGTAAGAAGGCAGAGGGAGTGTGTGAGAAGTTAAATTAAAATTCTAAAATTGTAAAGAAAGTTGTAAATTGTAAACCTATTATATATTTTTTAACTGCTATAAATTAAGGTATCCTCTTGATGGATTGCCCTGCGCATTGATGGATGTCCCCCCAGGGTTGTTTTGTTATGGGGAATGGCAATTCTTGTGTAGCATCATAGGATATGAGAACATATCCTATGATGCTACACAAGAATAGCATTCCCATAACAAACAACCTATGCACTGACTGCGTGAAGGACCCAACCCTGGTTACAGCTCGGAGCACCGCGCACGGCAGACCCGGCCCGCTGCAGCGCTGCGCCACGACACTGCGAAGCTAACGTTAGATGTAAACACCAACTTCCATCCGTCACCTATGGCGCGTATGATTACGGTGGCTGATGAAGGCCAGAGTAGTGCTAACTGATGCATTAGGTCTGCAGCAGGTGCGCGTATACATGGATATATTAGATTAATGTGAGACTCCGGCCTGACGTGCAACTTTAACTAGCCCCATATGACCGATCGTAAATGAGCTATTATTTACATTCAAATGGAACTATGATCATCTCAAGTGCTTCCAGCAGTCGCTGCAGGCATCACAGACCACCCTGGAAAAGAGCACCGTAGCGACGCAGAGGCTTGTTTACCTGACTTCGGGTAGGTGACGATCCATATGTCGCTACTTCTAAGGGAGAAGTTGGCGATCTCCTCCATCTTCCCCCTGCAAAAGGGCGGCAGCCGCACTCCATCGTACTCGAAATATTTGCTCTCAAACTCGATCGGCGTGCTCGGCGTGTCTGCCTCGCTCTCGGCCATCGTCGAAGACTGACCGGCAGTGCTGGGACGACGAGACGAGCACACCAACAAACGAACGCAAACCGGTCAGTGGATGTGGGACGAGGCGGTTTTTGAAAAACCGCTGCTGCGGGTGCTGCGTGGCGGCAGGACAAGTGGACCCGCGGCCAATCGCGCTGGAGAGAAGTGATGTAATGCGCGTTCACGAGTCGCAGCATCAGGACCACCAATGCCGAGAGGATGCACCCGCGAGACCACGGAGGGAGGATGCTCCCATACAGACCTACATGCTGCAGAAAATCCTAAAATCAAAAATATACAGAATGCTTTAATTCTTATTACTCTAATTATTTATACATATGTAATGTTTAGCAAGCAATTTTCTCGGCAGTGACACATTAAAATACCCAAATATCTGTATATTTCTTCTGGAACGCTCTCTTGTCATTTAACCTTTTTGTATTTGGGAAGAATATCGATATTTATTTGGTTGGCATCACTTCCCATCTGAATAACTGAAATTAACGGTCAGTTCAATTCATTGTTCTGTAAGCACTCTTTTCAAGATGTACATTATTCCAAACACCTTTTTTTGAATTATATTGTGTTTTCAAATGCTGCCCTATTTTACCTATAAATGAGAGAGGAAGTGCTTTATTATCAGATCATGTATTCTTTATAATTCAATCCATTCAAAACCTGCAAGGGGAGATTTTCTCTCTTTATTTCATTGGGTAGTCATGTTTTCTGTTGACTACAGATCTTGATACGACTACCATGTTCTTCCATTATACATTACACTGGATGTCACAGGGACCGGACGAAATACCGCAAATAACTGTTCGGTACAGAACAGATTGGGCGGGGGATTTATGTTTTCTTTTCCTTTGTTTTTTAGAGGGGACTATGACGTCAATGAGTTATGCCCATCCCACTTGCTGCCGATTGGCTGAGTAGAGAATTGACAAACGTGCATTAATCCAATCATGCTCTCAGAAAAATATGTTGCCTTTACTTTAACCTCGTAAATCTTATACCACATCAAACCATACACATACATTCAATATTCAATATTTTAGTTTATTACTCTGCTACAAGCACGTGCATATCAGTATTTAAATGTAACTTTCCATACAGAGAGATAAATAACCCTTTCTTGAAAACAAGTATGATGGACCTAATAGAAGCCCCAATGGATCAGTTATGTCTGCGTTCTGATAGGTCTTAGAGCACCTGAAGGCATCACCGGGAGGCTCCTCCTCCTCCCTGCACTTCCCTGTAAAAGAGCCAGTTGTTGACCTGTGGAGTTATCCAATCTGTTTATCTGCGCCGAGCGGAAGCATCGGCTGTCAATACTTCTCTAGCCGCTGCGCACTTCGGTGATCTATCCGCTCTCTCGCGTCTCCCCACACGGGGCATGCCCTGCCATGGTCGACCTAAACAGCGGCTGGAACCTCTCTTTCGCAGGATGCGGCTTTCTAGGAATTTACCACATCGGAGCAGCCAGCTGTCTCCTGGAGAAAGCGCCCTACCTCATCAAAGGGGCCACCAAGTTATACGGGGCCTCCGCCGGCGCTCTGACCGCCTCGGTGCTCGCCAGCGAGGCGTGCATAGGTAAGACACGCCGCTGTGGTTCGCTAGTTTGGAGCTTTATGCACACTTGAGGCAGGAGGACACGTTGTTGTTATTATTATTATTACTAGTACTTTGTTGATATTGGTATTATTGATATTACTGTCATTATTGTTATTAATAATACTAGTAGCCGTAGTAGTAGTAGTAGTAGTATAATGTTAATGGTATTATTGTTATTACTCTAATTATTACTATCGGTAGAAGTAGCTATACATTGCTTTTGGTATTGTTTTCATTACGGTAATTATTACCGGTAGTAGTTGAAGCGTATTTGTGTCATAATTATTATTAGCAGTATTAGTAATTATGTTATTACTGATTATTAATATTGGTACCAGCTTTCGCAGACATTTAAAAAAACTGTCTATTATGGATATGCTATGGTATGCAGTTTTATATTTTAAACTACACCGATGGGCAATTTAAAACATTTCATACCATCAGCTAGGGCGACTGTGGGTGAGTGGGGAGCACGTTGTCCTCCAATCAGAGGGTTGTCGGTTCGATCCCAAGCTCCGCTAACCCGCATGTCGTTGTGTCCTTGGGCAAGACACTTAACCCAACATTGCTCCTGTAGCTGTGACTACAGTGTGTGAATGTTAGTTACTGATGGGCAGATGTCACTGTGGTTCTCCTGTCATCAGTGTATGAATGGGTGTGAATGGGTGAATGATGTCATGTAGTGTCGGAAGACTAGAAAAGAGCTATACAAGTACTTACCATTTATCATATATAATTTTTAAATATGGTTTTAATACCTCTGAGGCTGGCTCAAAAGGGTAGTTTTTTAACATACCAAAATACCAAAATGATAAAGGTACTTTAAAATATTTTCTAGGAAACACATGGAGGTTGTGTTTCTAAAAGAAACATATTCTAAATAATTTAATGATACTAATTTCCATGTGTGGATATGGTCAATGTGGACCCTGTGGATCATATTAGAGCCCTGGTCTCTGGGACTGACCCTTTTTTCTTTTCCTTCCGTAATAACAAATTCGGATAACAGCTGACATGCGTGTCGACCTCGGCTTGCGCCCAGTCCCTGGTAAGGCTCGCCCGGGTCACTGACCCCGGGTAGCTTTAGTGGATATAGATCCAGTCATGTGTTGTTCTTTGCTCTCTATTGATTCAGAGTTGCGGTCAAGAGTCTCATCTCCTGAGCCTCCTCTTCTTTTCTCTGTTCCCAGCTAAGTGTTGTGAAGATGTGATTGAGGTGGCGAAGGAGGCGAGGAAGAGGAACCTGGGGCCCCTACACCCCACCTTCAACTTGGTCAAGGTGATAAAGGGCGGCCTTGATCGAGACCTGCCCTCCGACGCACATGTCCAGGCGTCGGGAAGGCTGTGCGTTTCCCTCACCAGAGTGTCTGACGGGGAGAACGTGCTGGTGTCAGAGTTTAGCTCTAAAGAGGAACTCATCCAGGTGAGGAGAGTTGGTCATATTGTGTTAAATCACTTAAATATGAATTTCATCTGTTTTAACCCCTGTTCTCTGCACACAGGCGCTGATTTGCAGCTGCTTCATTCCGGTCTACTGCGGGCTGATCCCTCCATCCTTCAGAGGAGTGGTATGGTGTTAATTGCTACTCATCAAGTTTAAGCATTGGTTTGCATAAATATTTGATCCAAACCATATTATTCTTGTTCTAGAAGGCAAGTTTGTTTAAAAAGGGGTGAGCCAAATATTGGAATGTGGAAATGCTGCTATCCAGATAGGGTAGATTGTCTATTTGAAAAACACTTGGCTTTGGGTGCAGCCATGATCCAAAAACACACATCACTTTTACATGATAGTTCATCCAGTAAACCGTCAAAATAGGACAAGGGAAATACTGGGCTGGTAAGAAGAAAAGAATATCAATGTGCGAGGCTGCCGTGAGAACATTCTGTTTTCCAATTCAAATAATCAGGATGACACGTGCATGTTTTGAAAGAGAACTGTGCTAATCCTTTTGGCTGCAAATGCTAGTTTCTGATACCACGGTTGCCCTTGCTTTGACTTATCAGCTGTTTTTTGGACTTTGAGAGGCAATGAAGCAGCAGTTTCTATGTGCGTGTGTGTGTATCTCTTGTGAGCATCTACCTGCTCTCCTCTGTTTCCATGTCATATACACAAAAACATGACTGAGGCTGATAGGATTCAGATGACGTTGCTCAGTGATAACAAAAGTACGAAGGCTGAGTGCGTCCAATGAAGACATATAAAACTAGACAATCAGATAACATGGAATGTGATGAAAATAAAAATCTTAATTATACATCTTTAAAATAAAAAATAAAAATAAATATTAATTTAAGTATTTCAAGTGTGAAGTGCTCATGATGTACATGATGTGCTGCTGGCCCAAAGTGCAGTGAAGTGTGAGAGACCAGCTCCATGCATGGATGTGCATTACGTGGAAGCATGACAGTCTAATGACGTTGGAGAACGGCCCAAAAGTTACAGTGAGGAGATTTTACCTGCTTATGAAGCTGTCTCAGTTTAACCCTGATAACTCGGGTACTATTGTTGCTATGGACTAATCCATTGAATGAAAGCAGGTGAACCCATCATTTCCCCCCTCTGTGTCCGTAGCGCTACGTGGACGGAGGGATCAGTAACAACCTGCCGCAGTCGGAGCTGAAGAACACCATCACCATCTCTCCCTTCTCGGGCGAGTGTGACATCTGTCCCCGCGACAGCTCCACCAGCTTCCACGAGCTGCGCTTCACTAACACCAGCATCCAGATGAACCTGGGCAACATGTATCGCCTCAGCAGGGCGCTGTTTCCCCCGGAACCCAAGGTAGACCAGGGTGCCAACCACAATTTACACAACATGACCCCAGCTGGTCCCACTTATCAGAGTCTGTGGTTGGCAAACGAAAAGTCCCCTGGTTCAGATGAGTTCTCTGGGTTGGTTTGTATGAGGACAGCTCCGCTTCTTTCTCTCTAGCCAGCATTCCTTTCTAGCTGTCCTGATACACAATTATTTGCGCCAAAGTTAAATGCACAATGACATGAGGAATGAGTATGTCTCAATTGGGCTCATACTGCATGCAATCCTAGAGAGGGCAGCTGCAGTGTGCCTTAAAAGTTAAAAGAAAGCAATTATAACTCATACGTGTTCAGTTGTCTTTTGCCCTCCATGTCCATGTTCATGTGTGTGTTCCTGACATCCCTTCGTGTCTCTTCTGGCCGCCCTAATCCATGACCCCCCCCCGCCCATTCTGCAAGCTCATTGCACCATCACGACCCATATGCCGAAAAGCATGTGGGTCTCTGGTTTTTCCCCTCTCCTGATCCTGGTTCTGTGACCTAATGTTGCATTGGAGTTTGTCCTCTTAACCGCTGTCCTCTGCCCCGTGAAATTTTCAGCTCCAGAGATTAGGGCTGTGCAATTTGCCTCATCTATTCTTTTTATAGATGAGGCATTCTTTTTTTTTCTACACAGATCTGTGTGATGAGGAAGGGAGGCAGTCACGCCACATTCCTAGAATGAGAAAGTACTTCTCTGTGCCACGCCACTTGGGAAAACAAATCTTTGCACAAATACTGGAGACCGAACACTGTTTCCCTGCACACACACACTTATCTCTATTATTATGTATTTGACTTTTTTTAATAATTGAATTATGTTTTTATGCTTGTAGAAGTCAAACTGTTTGGTTGTTGTGATTAATGTGTTAATAGGAATAGCTTACAGCAGCGCTAAAGGGACAAACCTCCAACCACATTTTTAACACAAATCACCTCTGTATTGTGACAGAGTATAAAAAAAGTGTAAAGTGTAAAAAAAAGGATGAATGTGCGAGAAAGAGCTGCATATAAGATGTACTGTTCCCTTCTCCAAAGGTACTAGCTGAGATGTGTCAGAGCGGTTATAAAGATGCTCTGCGCTTCCTTGAGGAAAACAGTGAGTATCTTACTGCCCTGGTACCATGTTGACTCTGGAGTATGCTGTGACCTCACTGCCATAGATTTCTATCAGCCTCCAGCGTAACCTTTGGACTGTGTTAACTGATGTCACGTTTCATGTGCGTGCGTGCCAGACCTGCTGATGCTGGATCGTCCAACATCTGGCCCCGCCCTGCCAGAGAGCACTTGCTGCCGTCCGCAAACGGAAACCACCAAGGATTGGGTGCCCCGGAGGCTCCGCCTACTGCGGAAACAGCACTGGTGGATGGATAAGGAGATGGTCCTGCCCCCGCCCATCAAGAAAGGTGCGGTGTCACAACGGACTCTGCCCATGGGCTCTGTAAAGTGTCAACATGTTAATATGCTCCTGTGTGTCTGCTAGTATTCTGCGATGCCTGCCAGGACCAACCTGGCCTGTATGCAAAGTTGTCCAAGATGCTTCCCGTGAGAGTGGCCTCCTACATGCTCATGCCATACACACTTCCCGTACAGTCGGCCTACTCCGTGGCCCAGAGGTGAACGCCGATCCAATCATTGTCAGTAGCTGGAATTTAAAGGACAGTTGGTGCTGTTTATCAAACTAGATAGTTTCATGAGTTCTGGAGATGTCTGCCTTCTATCTGGAACTAGATGGCACTCGGCCTGCTGAGCTCGAAGCGCCAAACATTTTCTGTCGCAAGAGGCAAACATTTCCTGTCGCAAGCCTCTTTTCGGGGCACGCTTCCTTCCGAGACAAGGTTGATAGGTGTATTTCAGTCGAAATGGAATAGTCTGTTTAGGTTAATGTGTAACTTAAACAATATTTTCTTTGGTAGACGCAGTGGATTGTCCCAAGATGCACAGACTTCGTCATGTCCGATTTCTTGAGATTAAAACAAAACTATTTATTTACAAAACGTAGTTGTATGAATTATACTATGGTAACAGTAATCAGTTACGGTTGGCGACGCTGTGCGTTAACCACCCTGTCTGTAAATTAGATCTGAACAGAATCAGATACATCCGAGACTGTTCTTAGGATCCCGGCCCCGCCTGCTCCCGTTGAATTTCCTTTCCTGTCTCATCTCAGTCACATGATGAATAATGAAATTGGCCTTCAACTGGTTAAATTCCCCCAAATGCAGACACCACTATTTGGTTGGTTATCTTGAATAGCTGGTTCATGATTGACGAGTTTTTCAAACTGCCATTGACTTCCAATAAATGGGAGAGAAGGCAGACCTCTCAAGGGCTGATATCACCAAGACTGTGCAACTCACGGCAAACACTCTAGATTGATAAATAGCTCTACAGGTAAGAGGACAAATATGTACTTTCGATTTAGGGACGAACTGTTCCTTTAAGCAAGAAAGTTCTGCACTTCAACCTCATTCTCCACTCATCTTGTAAAAACAGATTTGTATTGTTTGTTTATCATATCATGGGTGCTGTACCCCAGGTTTGTAGAGTGGATCCCAGAGGTGCCGGCCGATATGCGCTGGCTGTTTGGAGTGGCAGGTCACATTTACCAACAAGCCTGGAAAGGAGCTCCCGTCAACTCCATCAGGTGATGGATGATTACCCACTCAAGTGTTCGGCTAACTATAAACCATAAACCTGAATCATACTTGTGAACACAGCAGGTAAAACAGGTTGGAGTAAAAGACTGAAACACACACTGTCTCTTCCATTCATACTCTCCTCTTCTCGGCTGTTAAAAAGAGTCCCTGGTTAAAATATACCAGGTGAAATTATGTGACATTTGTGCATGAAACAAGTTTGCTAGCTACCCAAGGTAACTGCCGTGCTGCGTACGTACACTGTGCAAGATAAATGTAGTTCACTTACTGGGATTAACAGAATAATACTACGACAAACTGCAACTTTCTTGACATTCCACATGAAACCTAAAATTAAAAAATATCATGGTTGAATTTTAGCGGGATTGAAAAGTTGTTTGTGTCTTGCTGTTGAGTACTTTAAAAAAAATAGAGTCCCATTGGGGGAGCTACACAGGCCATGACTTTAACGCTCTATTGCTTACACGCACATATATAAAACTAATCCTGTGTTCTTGACCTCGCAGTGAGCCGGGGCTGAGGAAATGCTTGAGCGCGCCACCTCCACCTACACAGTGTGACAAACCGATGCAAAGAGACAACCTTCCCGCGCTCTCCTGCCTGGACCTCCACGGCAGCTACTGGGAGATCCCCGAGTCTACCTCCTCCTCGTCCCACCATCAGACTCACATTGCCCCCTTGTCTCCGCAGCAGGTCTGCTTCTTTGTCGGCTCTCAGGATGAACCGCATGGCCACAGTCAGCAGCAAATTGATTAATTTTACAAATAAGGTACTAGAGCTTTGTGAAATGTTGCATACATTTCTCAAGAAAACGCACATTTATTGTTGACTCTGAACACTCCAGGCAGCACCGACTGTATAATATTTTACCGAGTGCTCTGGAACTCACTCAGGATTACAGATGGGTTTTATGATCTGTTCTACAGCACAGAAAAGTGTCTAGTTTAACTGCAATCCTATCTAGGAGTCAAATTGTATGTTTATGTTCACATTTGTTTGATATCTATAGACGTCATACAACCACTTTTTAGGTGAGAAAGTGCCACGTTTCTGAAGATGGGTCTTAATTTCTCCACAAATGGCCCAGTTTTGTTTTTGACAAGGGACGTAGCTGCAGTTTGGTCCTGTGACAATACAAATGAGGGCTAAAGCTACAACAAATTGTAAGTAACTTAAGTGTCCTTGAAACTGAGATGTCAAAGAAAAGCCTAAAAAGCTTCTGTAGACGTTATTGTTATTCCCAAAATGTAAATGTGCTGCTCAGAAGAGTGCAACCAGTGTTAACATAATTCCTCATGTTGTAAATGTGTTTGACATCACTTAATTGTAAAGTTCTATTGATGAACAGTGATATTATGATAGCATTAAACCATATCTGAAAGCAATAGTTTGGTTTATTGGAGTGGTTTTATTAAGGTCACCAAACGAATTGTCGGAATTTTCTTTTCTCATCTTTTATTGAATTATTATTATCTGCAGTATGCAGTCAAACTTCATGAGGGAGCCTAAATGTTAGTATTAATTGTATAATCGGAGTCAACTTGAATCTAATATGCTATGCTAGCATACACTCTTACATGAGGAAATGTAATAAATTGTTTATCTTTGGCAATTGGACTCCTTCCTGAACCGGGATAATCAAGGGCCCGTGATGCGGAATTCTGCTCGGCAGAATCCCCCTCTGGAGTCCAGACGCTGGTGGAGAAGAAGGTAATGAATTAATGGTTAATGAAAACCAAGTATGAGTGAAGAATGCCTGGTTTCGCACTGAAATGACACCAGACAGCAACACAGAGAGAACCCTTTAAACAAATTTTGACAGCAACTGTCGGATTGTTTTAGAGCCACAGCGCCGCCTCTGTTGGTCGTATACACCTGGGTGCAGCGAATCTCCGCTGATTGGATAATTCTGGGAGACCAGCTGAAGCATATCGAAATTACGAGTGGCATAAAGGGAGTCTTCCTTCCAGAGCTACCGCTTAAGCACCATATAGCGCTTTTCTAGTCTTTCAACGCGCTTCAACACTTCATTTCATTATTCACTCATTCATACACTGATGACACGATCTACCATACACAGTGCCGCCTCAGTAACTAACATTCACACACTGTAGTCACAGCTACAGGAGCAATGTTGGGGTTAAGGACACATGGACATGCAGGTTAGCCCGGCCTGGGATCCAACCGGGGATCCAACCCTCTGATTGGAGGATGGCCGTGCTCCCCACTCACCCACAGTCGCCAATAGACTAATTAAACCATCAAGATAAACATCCAACAATCAAGATTGTCTGCTGTTAAACAGATGTGACTTTATTTACAAATCTTCCTGTTCAGCAAAAAACACCTGACTAATGTCACCTCATAGGCGAGGACATACTACCATCTAGTGGTCAACATGTTGATGTCTATACTATTTAATCACAACAGAAAACGGTTTTATGTGTATATAAATATGCTACATTAGTAGTATATAAGTGACGGCTTGGTGGGGGGATGGGCGGATGTGCGTGCACATGAATGCGCTGGGGGGGGTTGTGCATGTCAGCCATTTGAGAGAGGTCGCAACCTTGCATTATGTTAACAGTTGGCTAAGTAGTAATAAAAAAATAAAAGGGGTTAGAGACAGGATGACCATGCGCTTTAGTGTTATCAGAAACACACTTGTTGCAGTACCAACACCAATGCTGACCAGTCATATAACTGTTATTAGAAACACACACTTGTCTGAGACCTTTTTATTGCAAAGAGCCAAAACCGTTGTAGGAAGGCTAACAGTCATATAACTGTTGGGATGTGAGAGGGGGGCCACAACAGTGCACCCCTGATACAGACAGGATGAGCAGACACATTTTGACAAGAAAATCCCCCACAGGGTTTTAGTTTACTGTTTGTAAATTTGTACATAACCACTCGCTCACTGATGTATGTTTTTAGGTATTGGATAAGCTTTAGCTCAATTTCCAAACAACTTCATTGTAGTACGCAGCTACAGAGAGTTTAAGACATTTTGTCTTGTGTTTCATGTATGCGTTTCATGTATTTTATATCTTATTTAGAATGCTGGAAATAAACGGTTACTTTCATGTATCCTGATTGCATGTATTACTGGAGGGAAATGCATTGTGTCATTTTCCTATGATATAGGGACACTGGAGTAAGATGGACTTTTGCACATATTTTTGGTTATTGCTTAAAACTAGTGTGATTGCATTGTGAACACTGAACAGTAACATACTGTTTAATATTTTTCTGATTATTTAATTGTGAGGAGGTTGTGTGTTGTGAGTCTCGCCATGTTCATCCTGTGATAGTTTTGTTTTGTCCATCTATCCATCCATTTTCAACCGCTTATCCGGGGTCGGGTCGCGGGGCCAACAGCTCCAGCAGGGGACCCCAAACTTCCCTTTCCCGGGCCACATCTACCAGCTCTGACTGGGGGATCCCAAGGCATTCCCAGGCCAGTGCAGAGATATAATCTCTCCACCTAGTCCTGGGTCTTCCCCGGGGCCTCTTCCCAGCTGGCCGTGCCTGAAACACCTCCCTAGGGAGGCGCCCAGGGGGCGTCCTCACCAGATGCCCAAACCACCTCAACTGGCTCCTTTCGACGCAAAGGAGCAGCGTCTCTACTCCGAGCTCCTCGTGAATGGCTGAGCGTCTCACCCTTTTTGTTTAGTTAATTCTGTTATTATTACTTTTGCCACCAACACAAATGTATGATTTAGAAAATGGCATTACGGGGTTTTTGGGCCAAAGTATGACAAGTTGTAAAGCTTGATAGGTATGAAAGTCAAACGGTTGCCAGTTACATTTTTTTCAATCGCTAACAAGAAAGTGGTTTGAGTTCAATACTCAAACCACATTTTCAAAACTCTTTACACATTCAGCGCCACACAAGTGTATACAGACCTAACTGTGAATCATTTTTCATTGCTTTCAGACAAAATGCATTCAATCACCGGGTTGTTCAAAATCCACCAACACCTTTGTCATTCATACTCCACAAACAGCAAAAAACGGTAGCCTACATTTGCAGGATACTTTTCATATGCTAACACACTGCTTTCAAAACTGATAAAAGCACATTCAAATCAGAATGATGACAAATTTCAAACATTTCTGTAGTAAATATTTTGAAATATAAAAAATTATTCTATAAAAAAGAATTATCAATCCAAGCTAATTGAGATTTCAGCTCAAAGCCGACCAGGTGTCCTGCTTTAGTCCCACTACCATGTTTCAGTAAAAGGCAATAGCTTGGAACGGACTTATTTTGTAAATATGCATCACAGAAGCTACGTCGGTGGGGAAAGAGGAGTGATATGAGGGACAGTGTGTGCAGGACAAAGGAGGGGAAGACCAACAGGGCTGATATCTGATGAAATACTGTAAATGTTGTGAACATAGTCTCACTTTAAAAGAGGCCGGTCTGAGGGAGCAGCCAAATCTGCACCGCTCAACAGCTGCGTCAATAGTACAAATTTTCCGGCAAAACAAAAGGTCAGATGATACACATTACAGTACATTTCACAGTACAGTAATTGTTGTATTTTAGGATCCAAAGGTTGCCTCAGAGAGGAGGGAGAGGTAGAATATTTTCAGATGTGCAGGAAAAAAGATAATTTCTGATTCATTCTTGTTACACACGTATGCTTTAGTACATTCAATAAATTCAAAATCTGTTTTTCTATAATGATTTAATGTTTATGCAAAAATTCATTCAAACGTTCAATAAAAGTTCCTAATTTATGTAATGCTCCCTGTTGCTAGCATTGTTGCTAGCATTGAGTGACATGCATGTTTTCTGAATGAGAAGCTGTTGCCAGCGATTGGTGGGACGAGCTTATTTTGAGACATGTATGAAGTGTTTTGTTGGTCTGAGTGAGGTTTGGAGGTTAGATTAACTGTTTGGCCAAAATGAATCTCGGTAATGCAGAAGGTATGAAGAGTTTTGAAAGTGGTTTCAGTATTGAACATTGAATTGAATTGAATTCAAAAATAATTTAAAAGTAACGAAAAGACAAGGCCTTTCTGTGTGGATTTCTGTGTCCATGTTCTCCCCGTGTCTGCGTGGGTTCTCTCCGGGTTCTCCGGCTTCCTCCCACAGTCCAAAGACATGCTCTGGGGATCAGGTTGATTGAGGACTTTAAATTGCCCGTAGATGTGTGAATGTGAGTGTGAATGGTTGTGTGTCTCTGTGTAGCCCTGCGATTGGCTGGCGACCAATCCAGGGTGTACCCTGTCTATCGCCCGAAGTTGGCTGGGATGGACTCCAGCCCCCCCCGCGACCCTGTGTGCAGGATAAGCGGTTTGACAATGGATGGTTGGATGGAAAAGACAAGGCCTTTCTGTGTGGAGTCTGCATGTTCTCCCTGTGTCTGCGTGGGTTCTCTCCGGGTTCTCCGGCTTCCTCCCACAGTCCAAAGACATGCTCTAGGGATCAGGTTGATTGGGGACTCTAAATTGCCCGTAGATGTGTGAATGTGAGTGTGAATGGTTGTGTGTCTCTGTGTAGCCCTGCGATAGCCCTGCTATCATAGGAGAATATTGCTGTACGTTTATCCCTGAAAATGACAAAGACGAAGGCATTATCCATCATGCGATACAAAACATGACAAAACTTCAGGAATCTATGGCAAGAGACAAATTTCCCTCCCCAGATTGGCTCACATGTTTGTGGTATTCATGGAAAGGAACATGGAGGAGGAGCGGCTACTATCATCTGTGTTGTCTTCGCATTCGTAATTTGCGGTATCCCATTGATCCGTCATACGATTTTCCAACTCTTGGCGAAACAAATAGCTATGTACAGCCTGGGGTCACCTGATGACTCACCACCAAACTTGTTCCCTGGACGTGATTCTGACGATAACCCCAACAGTGACTCGGACTCCCTTGACGAGCTTAACACTTACGACCTCGACACATACGCATAGTGACATAGAGACATGTCTGTGTGCATCCCTGGTGTTCTAAATGTTTTTTTGTTTTTTTGTTTCACAGTAGCTTGCTAAAACAATGAGAAATAACATTCTCACAAAAACAGCTTTTATCCCTGCATGATTGATATAATGACCTTTCCACAATATTCTATATCTGTATTGTGTGATAGGGAATCAAGTTCCGGTATTGTGATTTAAACATGTTTTCATTTCTTTTTTATTTCAATACTGTACACATGACATCTGGGGTGTAACGCTCAAATCCTGTGAGAAGGTTTCCAGTCTTTTTCTTCTCCTAACAGATTTCATCCTATTTTCCCCCATTTCGGAGGGTTTTTTAGGGAGTTTTTGTTCGGTGGCAGGCAAAGTTTTGTGAGCGATGTCCAGATGTCCATGTTTTGTGATATTTGATGTGGTAAATATCAGATGGTAAATTTTTAGAGTAGGCATTCTACATTGATGCATAGTGTGTGATTATTATGTAATCAAAAGAGTGGAATGTAATGGGGAAATGATATGTGACCCTTTTAAATGCTTCATTTGTATAACCAGTTTATTAGTTGCAAGTGGTTAGATCACAAAGGCCCTGACATAAGAACTGATGTCTCCCACTTGGATTAGATGTTTCCAGCGTCATAGCTGTAGAGATTGAACAAAGTGTTTGTTATGTCTATGACCACCTTTGTTTTTGAATGTTGGGAGAGCAAGGACACGGTCAAAGAGCTGACGTGTCTTACATGGATAAGATGTTCCCAGTACCCTGGCTGTAGAGACTCAACAAGATGGTCAAAGGTTTCTGTTGACGCCACCGATATCTAAACTTAGGTATAAGAACTGCCTCGATGTGTTGGGGGCAGAAGGAGGTTCATGACAGTCTACTGACCACGTAGCTGTTGTGACCCTCTTTACCTTGCAAGGAAATAAACGGAGAAAAGACATACTTGACTCAGAGCCTTTGTTTCTTACTTAACGATTGTCTGTGCAAAATCTCCCACCACACTGGCGACCAGTCCAGGATGTACCCTGTCTATCGCCCGAAGTTGGCTGGGATGGACTCCAGCCCCCCCGCGACCCTGTGTGCAGGATAAGCGGACAATGGATGGATGGATGGATGGAAAAGACATGGTATTATTTATTTGCTGCTTAACTGTGGCTATTTTCATCAATAACTTGTGCATTATTCTGTCAGTAGATCAAATGTAGCATCTCCTAAAAAATGATAATACAAAGGAAGTTGTACCCGGGTGTAAAAAGGCTCAGAGTACCTGCAGAGTCAGAATACAGCACTTGGTCTGGCAGCAGATGGACTCTACTGATTCCATGAACCCTACTGCCAGCAGGCACATAAATGAGGCACTTTTCCCAACACTGTCCAGTCGGCTGCACATTAGAGTCAGAAGAAGAATTACGTTTGTATATTTTATAATCAAGAAATAGTCCGATATATTGCATCTCAATTCTTATTAACTATATTAAGACATCATTTCATATGCACATAACAGTGCATCCACACTTCTGAATTGGCAGTAAAGGAATACAATATTGATGTTTATTTATTAATTCAAGAAAAAACGAATGTTTAGAAAGCCCTGTAAGGACTTCCCCTTCACAATTTGGGGTAATCTAAAAAGTGACTTTTTAATAACTATAAAGGGGTGTGGTGAGATATAAACAATGATGAGACACTAAAGAAGTGTCAGACATTTGTTTGGTGGAGAGTGTTCAGAGCTAAGCGAGACAACTTATATCAGAACTGTAGGATATTAGAAAAAAATTGACGATCCGGTTCATAAAATTAATAAAAATGCACATAGTGTACACCAGAATACAGCCATGATTCTGAAACTGTGTAATCAATAAAGTAATGACAATATTGTAAAACCACTGTAATTCTGCAGCTGTAATATAATAATATGTACAGTTAGGATTGTATTTGATGTAATGTAATCAACTGGAATGCACGCATGTAATACTTGAACAACAACTGATATTGACTAAGGATCATTCGAAATCCGAGTTACATTGAACTCACCAGAAGACCACTCCCAGAGGAGTGGACACTAAATTTCACACCTTTAAGCATTGTAATAAATACCTGTAGGGACCATTGTTCTCGAGTTCACTGGTGGAGGCTACAGACGGGCACTAGGGATGGTCAAAGGACTGACCTGGGGCCTGTTGGTTGCTGAGACCAGCGGCTCCTCAGCTGAGATGTTCTTTTTACCGCATCGCCATCTCCTTTATTAAATACATTTGATTTAACCTTTTGATCAGCGATGACCTCTGTCCGTCCGGCGTTTCTTCATTTTAAACACAACTGAACATACAAACATGATATATTGCTAAAACATGAAGTAAAACTAGAGTATAATGAAAAAGTATTATGTAGTATTATGAGGGACAAAAAGTGCCCTTTAAAACCCTCCCACAATGCACTGCTGCCCGGGCTGTCAAACCCCTTCCGGCTGTGCACTGATACCTCCACGTGCGTTGTAACTGACTGGAGTCGTGTCAACAAACCATTTGACTATGAATGGAGACGAGGACGAGGAGTTCCAAGCGTTTGTCGCCCTCCACGCCGGCGCCCTGCAGTCCTCGCAGATCCCCACCATCTACTGGAGGAGTCTGCATCACAAAATCACCAACGAGGTCTGTCCCTCGCGAACTGCACCGGTACACGTCCGACTGGGAGAACGCGTCCAGTAACACAGCTCGGAGGGGAACACGGCTAGTAGGACCTCTTGATATTTATTTATGTGAAATAAGCACCAGCCGGGCTGACGTTACGCATCCACACCGGCTAATGTATGTGAATGCTAACGCCACTAACTTGTAAGCAAGTTTCTGCCAAACTCGCTTTAGAAACGGGAAAAATTACACGTTTTCGTAATTATTTTCGAATCTTCGCGTCTGATAAAACATGGCTAAAAATTGCCAAATGTATGCGTTCAGGGGTTCAAATCGGCATGTATTGTATCCATTGATCGGGATGTGTATTGACGATGTTTATTGTTGGTTCACACTCCCAACGTCGCGGTACGGGGACTGATCTGAAACAACGCGTTCAAGGCGTCTTTATTGCGAGTGCCGAAGTTGAGAAGAAAACCGAGGGCTCGTCGGAAGCCATCCGGGGCTTGAGACGCAATGCTCGTCTATTCGGGGTTTTACGGTACGGGTGCTCGGATAACCCAAAAAGCCCAGAGAATCCGCGGGTGACTGTTCACTTGAGCGCATTTGGTGTTTTTTTTTTTTTTTGTTGCATGCCCTAGATTTACGATGCTGGTGAAGTTTTTGGAATCATGCGTTTCCAACAAGAAGAAGACGATGAGCAGCAGCCAGAGGACGGAGAGAAGAAGGGGAGGGAGATCCGCTGTAAAGTGGTGGTGACCCGGGAGACGGGGCTACAAGCCTCCGAGCCAACCAGGTGAGACCCTTGACAGAAGGATTTACCACTATTTCCTTGAATCCATAGGAGGAAAGAAAACACAAAATAAATATGCGTGAACAAATTGAGTCCAACAATGTGTATATCATTTGTATTGTAAAATGTTATTTCATCATTCAATTACTTAAGCCAATCAATTTTATTTGGAGAATCCCAATGCAGCCTGGTCCTACTAGATTTTACAATAACAACATAATAATACATTGAACAAAGCACACAACAGGCACATCTTATAACAACATAAGTTAAACGGCTGCCCAGTGGCGTGGGGAAAATTTCCAAGTAAGCCATGTGAGACACAACCTCTGTGTACGTTTTATGGGGATGGGGCAGAAAATCGTATGTTGCAATTTATATGTTGCTATTTCATGTAGTCTGGTGAACTATTACAGCGACAACATCATTTTACCAGGACTTACACACGCTTGTTATCTAACCGACACTTTGAGCACCGACGCTCCCTCTCTCTGTGACACACACACACACGCACACTCAGTCATCTTAAACATCTCATTAATTTATGCAACCACCCTCCCAAAAGCACAACCAACTACTTAAAGCACAGCACACATTTGATATTGGAAAGATTCAAATTCATTCTCACACTCAATCAGAAGCCATTAAGTTTTACGACTATGTCAAACACGACTTGTACACTCTATGTGAGCCAAATGCTTTTCACTTTTCCTTATTGTTTATATATATATATATATATATATAAAAAATAATACATGTAACTGTTCATTATACAGCAACACAACTGTCCTCCGTGTCCTCCTCACCAAATACTCCACCCTTCATCATTGCGCTTAATACTTTTGCTAGCTTACGAAGCTATCAACACAAATCTTCCGTTATTTCATTCAATGACGTTGATGACATGCTGTGATTTGATTGGTGTGATGCCAACGACTTCTTGGCTTCCCTTGACACTGTCCCTTGAGCAATCACGAGGGAGCAGTGTTGTCACAATAGCCTCACCTGATTGGTTAATCATTCATTCTTTTTTTTTTCATCAAGGGAGGCCAACTCTGCCATATCATACAAATCATAGCCACCATAATAGCGTCATTTTACACAATGTGCTTTTTAACCAATTTTGTGATCTCTGGATTTATGGTTTAACGCTTGCTCAAAGAACAACTCCACAGTATTGCAATTCAAACACAAGCAGGTTTGGTAACAAATTTGCAAAAATAACAACGAGCCATTGTAAAAACTAAGTACAATATGGCAAGCGTAAAGGTAAATGTTAGAAAAATGTTACTCGACGCCGGTGTGAAATCATTGAACAGGACGTTTATTAAATGGTTGCAAGCACCGAGTAGAGTTGACACACATACAATACGTGCATCAAGGCTACTCAAAGGATTCTTCCTGGCTTCAAGTTTTATACTCTAAAGTGACAAACATCTGTGCTCCCCTCCTCAGGGGAGAGGAGGGGAGCATCTGCCCCCGCTGGTTACCTCCACGCCAAAGAGATGGAGATTTGCCATTCATGATGAATTGAGGTTGAGGAGAAGAGAACCTTTTACAACATACCTGCTTCACAAATCATTCTGAGAATCAGGAACAGTATGCGTCAGTTCAGGAGCTCACAGACTGTTATATTCATTTTCCAAACAGTAAATAACATGGGTAATCTTCTCACGTATATAAACTCTTTAGCCAAGCTGAACGTTTGACTCTACCACCTGGATCGACCCCAACTGACTTAGTTTGCCACTTTTTTTGAGAGCAGAGGGAAGTTTTTGTTTTGCAGCCAAAAATTCTAGTTTCATAATCCAAACTAACAAATAATTTATTCTCAATTTATATATTTTCACTTACAAACTTTTTTTTTTTTTTTGCATAATAAAGACACAAATCTACCTTCATACAAATACCACCCAGAACGTACTTAATCTCCCAATAAAATAGATCTTATCTGGGGCTCGTAAATACCGAAGATCATTTATACTCCTCTTAAAGCGGCCCACTGTACATCTTCACCAAGCTACACCGGACCGGCCTGGAGCAGAGCTCCTAAAGGTGTGTGTGTGTGTGTGTGTGTGTGTGTGTGTGTGTGGGTGTGTGTGAGAGATGTGGAGTGAATTTAGAAGAAAAAAAAAAGGGAAAATGTTAAGAACCTAGAAAAACTATCCGGACTAAAGCAGATCTTAATCTACAGCTTCTCTATCACCGTTGTCAAAAATTCACCAATAGCAACCCCTGTTCTGGCACTGGTCTCTGAAGACAGAACAAGAGGGGTTAGGATACGTCTCACTCACTCGCCCTCTTGGTTTGGTGTGAGCCTGCCGCTTAAATGGGGTTGGGTTATGTGGCACCAGCTGCCGCCGATCAACCCGTGATTGGTGGTGCGGCCGGTTTCCATGGCGTATGATTGCAGGCCTCAGGTGACTCACCACTAAAATATAATATATATATATATATATATGAACGTTTTGGTTTAACCATATGGTTTCAACACTTATGTATGTGTCCCTTCTTTCTCAACCTGAAACCTTGATGGTTCCTTTGTCCTTAAAAGGTCATCTAACACCAATTTAGCATATTATGCTGTCCTCTCACCACCACTCTCTGTGATATACTGAACTTATTATCTTGGAGAAGAGTTTCATCTGGCTCCCTTTTGCATTGAGAGGCATGATGGAACTCTCAACTATTTAATAATGCCTTACATGTCTGAATTGATTTTTTGTCTTCATGTACATAAAGACCTTGCTAAAGATGCTCTCACACAGATTCCAGGGCAGTTGCTTCATTGTAAACTTTTGCATTCTGTCTTTAGTTTTCTTTTTTCGGCCAATTTTCCACCACACTTGTGATGTACACATTGTAACTGTTGATCAGCGAGAACTGAAATTTGCCCTGACCATCGCGCTCAAAGAAAACAGTAAGATGGCGTTGGGTTAGTTTCCCTCGGAGGGAGTGCCAGACTCTGCTCTGGGTCCTTAGATCCTGGTATTTGGTCATCTGGCTGCAAGAATCTGTTTATAACCTGTTCTGGAAAAAAAGTGTCGCTACCGTCGCAAATTTACACGTGATTTAAAAAATATGAATCTTAGTTTAATATTTTACTTGTGTCCATTGTCCTCCCCGGCTGTCCGCAGTGTTTACCTGGTGGATCACGCCTGGACGTATCGAGTAGACCACGCCCGTCAGCAGCTGGAACAGCTCCCTGGCCTGCTGCCCAGAATGGCTGCCCTCATGGGGCTGGACTTCCACGGCGAGGCCCCTGACCCGGACACGGTGGAGCTGGTGATGGAGCGCATGTGGAAATATAACCAGACCTACAAACTCTCCCAGGGGGTGAGTCCTGAAAGCTGGTTCACCCTCGGATTCTCGCTTACCACACTTCTTTCCACTGTGGCGTTGCCACAGATGCCGTTGTATGTCCCTGCGTGACATTATTTACACTAACAGATACATCAGACAAACACTGTGGAGCGGTCACTCTACCGATGTGCTGCTTTTGCGTGCCGGGAGTAGAAGTGAAAAAGCCGGCAGTAAAAGCACATAAAAAAACTAAAACTTAAAACCACAATGCTTAAACTCAGAGCGCTGAAAACAACACTTTTAGCTTTCATGTGGAAGATTTTGCACAGACGGTAAATAACAATAAAGGCTCGGAGTCATATATGTCTTTCTATTTATTTGCTTGCAAGGCAAAAAAGGTCACAACAGCTACGTGCTCAGTAGACTGCCAAGAGCCTTCCTCCCCTCACAGCAGGGCCAGGCTGTTCTTCTACCTACAGGTGGCCTCCAAACCAACTTGTTTTGTCTCTACAGCCAGGAGACTGGCATCTTATCAGTGTGAGACACTCCAGCTCAATTCTTTTTCATGGCCACACCATCCCAGCATTTGCAATTTATAACCTTAGTCGTACAATGAAGCATTTTTAAGGGTGACATACATTTTTGCCATTACATCTTATAATATTCACATCAGGCTATAGTGTACGTTTGCCACCTTTGTGTTTACTCACCAGCTAACCAGGGCTGTACAGTTCATCTACGCTTAGATCTTATGCTTCATAACGTCCTGGCTAAATGTGGCGAGATTGTTGGCACTTCAAGCATAGCCGTCAAATAATGTGTTGAGCGCAAAGTGCACGAGGACGGAAGTTTAACATGTTCCACCCGGTGGGATTCTGCCTCCAAGATGATAAAGTGTGTGTAAATACAATTAAACAGTGTCTAAAATACAAGTTATTTCTCGTTAATTTAAAAGATTTAGTCTTTAGATGGAAAACAAACTTTTAATTGGCATCAATCACAACATAAGTCAATTCAATAAGTGATGAGATAACTCCCCCAGAGAACTGAAACGACAGTTAGGTTTTTGGTGGGTTGTGTCTCTTTTGTCACTACAAAGACGTAAGGTTCTCATTATAAAGTTGGGGACACGCTTGTGTGAAACTGTTGAACCGGCTGTTCCCAGCAGCAGTTTGACCAATCAGAAGTGAGACCGTGTGAAAGATGCTCCCTCAGGAAAGGAAGGAGAACTCAGCCCAACAGTCTCAGACAACTTCATATTGCAACTTAACTCTGCTGCGTGAGTTTCTCGGGCCTCCCTGCCTCACTCTACTCGTCCTGCTGTGTTTTTCCACGCAGTCTCCCGAGGATAAAGTACCGGTGTGGTACATCCTGGATGAGTTTGGCTCCCAGGTGCAGCACTCCGACCGGCCCAGCTGCAGCATGGCCCCCTTCTTCTACGTCCAGGGTGGGCTGGCCTACTCTGTGCTGTGGCCCCTGCAGAACCTGCAGGAGGGAGGTGAGAGCAGACACAGACAAACACGGATGGAAGACATGATCGGATGTACATACAAGGATAAAGGGGAAACTTTTTCTCTCCAGAAATAGAAGAAAAGCTAGGGAGAACTAAGCGTGACAGATAAAGGTGAATGCAAAAAGAGTAGTTATTTTTACATAAATACTATGTAAATGTATATAAAAAGCTTGAACGGCCGATTGACCAAAAACAAATGCGTTAGCAGAGGTGTTGATCAGTACTACACACATCTCTCCATATTAAAATATGCTATCAGGTCATCAGGGTTTAAAGCCATTTATTTAGTGGTAGTGGTGACCTGGCCACACCTCGTATTTCCTCCTTTCGAGTGACAGCAAGATCCTCCTTGTGGCAGTGGCAAGTGGGTGGCAACTTTGTGACAGGCAGCGGCAATCGCCAGTAAATCAGTCGGCGTCACGACGGCACGCTGGGTGGGAGGAGCCAATTTTTCCCAGAAACAACTGTTATTTGTACGACAGGTCAGCTGCTGTAAATATTTAATTTAATTTAATTTTATTTTATTTTATTTGAGACACGTGAGCCCCCGTCTTCTTATTACAGAGGCTAATTTTAGGTTTGGACCGGCGGGTTCCGTGTAGGGGGTGGGGCTCTCAAGTTTGATGCCACCCGCAAGTGGGTGACACTACTGACCCAAGGAGGATCTCGGCCTTACTGCTCCTTTCTGTTCTTTTGTGCTGATCCCATCCAGTCTGTGACAACTACTGTTGTGTTTCTATCTTGTGTTCATCTCCCCCTGGGCTAAAGCAGCGTCCTATTATATTCGACCTCTGTTACTAATTAGCAACCCCGTTAGGCCATGGACATTTATGCTATCTGAAATCTTTTTCATAGACTAAAATCAGTGTTTAACATTTTATCTTCACTAGCGACCAGACAGACATTTCCACACCGCAAAAAAAAAAAATCATTATTTCCACAGATGAAGTGTCCCGTGACTATACTTATGAAGAGACAGACCCCCTAGTGAGGCGATGCCGTTTGTTACCATGGATACCTACTGATCTAGAAGGGGTCAGTAGTGTCACGACTGAGCCCCCCGACTCGTACTTTGAGGTGAGCATGACTGTCACTGATGTTTAAGAAACAAACATATTTTGTTTACAGCTGCTTTTTCCCACAACTCCTGGGCCCTGTTCCTCGAAAAATCACCATAGCAACATATCCAACAACTTGAACCTGCTCTCTTCCTCATTGACTAAGGATCAGTTGCCAGTAGATTAACGTTTTATAAGGAGAGAGTTCTCTGAGATTACCAAGATCCGTTATGACATCACAATGACGTCCTGCACGACTGCTGTCGATACTGCGGACAAGGAATCATTTATTTAGAAGACCTTCTCGAGCTGTAACGTTACATGAACGACACACACTGCAGCAGAGTGTTGATTGTCCTGTAGACTGTCTCATACTGTCTCACACGGTCTCTCATACTGTAAATGTTTGTCCAGTGTTGCAATGCAGAGAACATCTGGAAAGCCGCTGCATGTCGTACTGTTCGTCAAGTTTTGTTTGTTTGTTTGGCGCTTAATAAACTCCATGTTTCACTGCTTCAATTGATCAAATATCTGATTATGAATAATGCATACATACATCGGTCCATACAGATTCACACACACTTGATAAAAGTCCTAGTTCTATATTGTCATCTAAACATACATGTATACACATATATATGATACAAAGCGCACAGTAAATATATCCTTAAGTATTCATTCACATAAATTAGATTTTTGGGCTTGTTTTCATCGGGTTTATTTGCAGTTGTGCTGTTAGAAAATTCTGGTTTGGACGATCGACTCTTCCGCCTCAGGACACGGACGCACAATTGTCCGGATGACTGACTGGTTCAAAATAACAGGACAGTTTGAGCGCGGTTTAGCCTTTGGGGAACGAAGATAGCCTGAAATCAATCATCCCGTTAATTTGAACTGACTATTAGGACAATTGACTGACTTTGTTTACCTGCCGAATCACACTCATTACAAGATGCTGTTAGGTCATCTCTGTCCTGTGTCTGCTTCTACAGTCCATTGCGTTGGAGACCAAGGAGCAGCTCCCTGTGGAAATCCAACCCTACACTGTGGCCGAGGACAGAATCCTCAAGTAAGTGTCTCACCTCCCAGGCGATTATTTTTCTAAAATAAAAGAAGGAGGGGCTTCAAGGAAAAGGGGGAGGACACATGTTCTTAGTCCTCCCGTCGTGGCCTTGACATATATATATATATATATATTACATATATATATATATATATTATATATATATATATATTACACTGTGAGAGGGACACAGTGTATTCATTCTACCTGCAGGCGTCTTGAACAATGGGATCCTCTGAAAAAGGAGTTGGAAAGTGGAAAGTGACCAATTCCTGGAGGACTACATGCACGAGGAGAATAGGGAAGGGAGAAGTGGTCAGGAGAACATCAATGTGGGGTGCAAAGCAGTTAACAAGAATAATAAAAAAAACAATGGCTGCTAGTACAAAAGGATTGCATGGATTTCGCAGGTGCTAAATGTGCACAAATAAGACAACGGGTAAAGCACAGCGCTCACTGCCAAGCAAAGAGCCTGCAAACCTGACCAGGGGCCAGAAGAGCCTTCTACCCGAAGCCTTTGCTTGACGTTGGTCCGAGTCAGAATAATAAATGAGAGGTTTTCATCCTTTCCCAAAATTGTGGTAATCCTCTGTCACCCTTAGTTCCTCCTTTCACGCCCCCCCCCCCGCCACACGCACACACAGAAAAGCCCCCTCTATATCATCTTTTGTTTGCCTTTTTGGTGTTGAGGTAATCACAAAAGTAAAGGCAAGTTGTCCCCGGTTGTGTCCATTGCTCTCTTCATGTTAGTGTTCTCCACAGTTCTGTGCTTTACTTCCAGGGTTTACTCCGACATGTCGCAAGTCACAAACAACCTGACTCACCCCCGCTTCCAGCTGATAGAGGAGAAGGAGGCCGCCGATATCATTTGGAGCTATCATCACATGAAAGACTACAGGTAAGCAACACACCCACCAACACCCACTGCATCTGGAAAGTATTCACAGAGCTCCAGTTTTACCACATTTTGTTATGTTACAAATTCCCAAAATGGATTAAATTAATTTTTTCCTAAAAATTCTAAACACAAAATCCCACAAGGACAAAGTGAAAAGGCATAAACACCAGGACGTTGGGGTTTAAAAAAATAGACACTCTAATGTAGATGTAATCCAAGGTTTTGCTGCTTTGGCCTTTAAAGTAAATAAAATACTTTAAGCCATAAAGCTGAAAGTCATTGGTTAAATTCCAAATCAAATCTATGAAACAAACAAGCCTATGCTTGTAAAAGACACTTCATCGCATCATCTTCTCTGACAGGAAGTTGAGTGAGGAACGACCCCATGTGATGCTCAACCAGTTTCCCTGTGAGAGCATCGTCACTGTGAAGGACTGCTTGGCTGCTGTGGCGCGCAGAGCGAAAGGCGGCTCCCAGCCCGATTGGTTACCAGAGACCTTCAACCTCCAGTCAGAGCTGCCGCAGTTCATCAAGTGTTATCAACAGAGACAGCAAAGGTGGGAATGATAAAGTGTTTCATATGTTAATGAACCAAGAGCACGTTGCTGATGATGTTTGCATCACCACTAAACAAGATAAAGGATGTCTTGGTGTGGGTTTCAGGGGAGAGGATAACCACTGGATCTGTAAGCCCTGGAACTTGGCTCGTGGCCTGGACATACACATCACCAACAATCTGGACTATATAATCAGGCAAAGAGAGAGCACACCAAAGGTACGTGCGCGCGCACACACACACACACACACACACACACACACACACACACACACACACACACACACACAGATCCCATGAATCCAGCTCGTCTAGGACCATGTACATTATTGATCTCAAAAAGTGATGGTTTGGTAGTGTTTTCCATATATTTTTGTATTGATGTTTTTTTTTTACATACTTTTTTATATTAGAATTTGGGTTGTCTATAGTAGTGTTTTCCACATCATATTAATGGTCTAATTTAGCCTTGTATAACTGCGCAGCATAATGACACATTAAGCTAAACTTGTGCCAGAGCTGTGGTTGGATTGATCTGATGTTTCGTCCAAGAACATTGTGGAATGAACACAGTTTGTCAAAACATGACAGTACAGACACCAGACCTATCATTCTAGGTCTGAGGTCTTTACACTGGCGTCCATCAAAGAATTTGGTTCATAAAGCTCTGAATGGCTTAGGGCCCAAATTCATGTCTGACCTGCTGCTACCGTACGAACCATTCCGACCCCTCAGGTCGTCTGGAACGGCTTTTTTCTCATCCCAGTCAGAACTAAACATGGAGAAGCAACGCTCAGGTTTCTGCTCCACATATCTGGAACAATGTCACAGAAAGCTGCAGGTCTGCTGAGACTCAGTAGCTTCAAATTATTATAGTCTGCTTGTGTAGTCAGAGGGCCCTTGTATGTCTCATCACTGCCCCTGCTCACACCTCTGCTTGGAATTCAGAAGATTTGGTGCGCAACAAGGTCTTCTAACCCTTTTCTTTACCCGTCTTTGTTTTCTAGGTGGTGTGTAAGTACCTTGAAGATCCAGTGCTGTTCAACAGAGAGGAGGTGGGAATGGTGAAGTTTGACATTCGCTACATGCTGATTGTTCGCTCTGTGCAGCCTCTGCGTCTCTACGCCTATGACGTCTTCTGGTTGCGCTTTGCTAATAGGTACGTCACACACATGCTTAAACTCTCAGACTGTGATGCTCATTGTGAAGAAAACCAAAACATTAGGATAAATGTATCGTACCTCGTTGTGGTGGGAGAAGAAACCCTGTGGGAGTTAATTTTATCTAAATTTCAAGGGAGTCATTCCATGAGGTGTGGTCATTTTAATTCTGGACCAACCAACCCACCAACATGCTGTCTGTAGACCCGCTTTAGTGCAACACGTTGGAGATTACAAGTGACTTGGCATGTGAGGAGGATAAAGTACAGTGCATCCGGAAAGTATTCACAGCACTTCACTTTTTCCACATTTTGTTATGTTACAGCCTTATTCCAAAATGGATTAAATTCATTATTTTCCTCAACATTCTACACACAACAACTCATAATGACAAAGTGAAAACTGTTTTTTGCACATTTTTGCAAATCTGTTAAAAATAAAGAACGAAAACATAACATGTACATAAGTATTCACAGCCTTTGTCATGACACTCAACATTTAGCTCAGGTGCATCCTGTTTCCACTGATCATCCTTGAGATGTTTCTACAACTTGATTGGACTCCACCTGTTCTAAATTCAGTTGATTGGACATGATTGAGAAAGGCACACACCTGTCTATATAAGGTATCACAGTTGTCAGTGCATATCAGAGCATAAACCAAGCCATGAAGTCCAAGGAATTATCTGTAGACCTCCGAGACGGAATTGTATCGAGGCACAGATCTGGGTACAGAAAGATTTCTGCAGCATTGAAAGTCAAGTCATTTTATTTTGTATAGCCCATAATCGCAAATTACAAATTTGCCTCAGAGGGCTTTACAGTCTGTACACATACAACATCCTCTGCCCGAAACCCACCATCGGCACAGGAAAAACTCCCCAAAAAATGAAAAAACCCTTACAAGAGGGAAAAAAGGGAAGAAACCTTAGGGAGAACGTCAGAGGAGGGATCCCACTCCCGGGATGGACAGACTACAATGGATGCCATGTGTACAGAATGAACAGTATATAATACATGCAATTCCTATGACAGAAATGATTCAAGTAATTGTGAGTAGTAAGCCAGGCGCACAGCAGGACCACTGCAGGGGCAACCACCATCAGATAGAACCACCATCCACAAATGCAGAAGCACAATGAGCACAGTGGCCTCTATCATCCGGAAATGGAAGAAGTTTGGAACCACCAGGACTCTAGAGTTGGTTGCCCAGCCAGACTGAGCTATCGGGGGAGAAGGGCCTTAGTCAGGGAGGTGACCAGGAACCCGATGGTCACTCTGACAGAGCTCCAGCGTTGTTGTATGAAGAGAGGAGAACCTTCCAGAAGGACAACAATCTCTGCAGCACTCCACAAATCAGCCCTGTTTGGTAGAATGGCCAGACAGAAGCCACTCCTCAGTAAAAAGCACATGACAGCCCGCCTGGAGGACTCTCAGACCATGAGAAACAAAATTCTCTGGTCTGATAAAACAAAGATTGAACTCTTTGGCCTGAATAACCAAGTGTCATATCTGGAGGAAACCAGGCACTGCTCATCACCTGGCCAATACCATCCCTACAGTGAAGCATGGTGGTGGCAGCATCATGCTTTGGGGATGTTTTTCAGCGGAAGGAACTGGGAGACTAGTCAGGATTGAGGGAAAGATGAATGCAGCAATGTACAGAGACATCCTCGATGAACACATGCTCCAAAGCTTCTGCACCTCAGACTGGGGCGACGGTTCATCTTCCAACAGGACAACAACCCGAAGCACACAGCCAAGATAACAAAGGAGTGGCTTCGGGACAACTCTGTGAATGTCCTTGAGTGGCCCAGCCAGAGCCCTGACTTGAACTTGATTGAACATCTCTGGAGAGATCTGAGAGCCTGTGACCACCAGGACTGTGAAAAGATGGTCACAGATGGATAGAGATGGTCACAGGAGGGTAATGAGGCACTGCAGGACTGCTTTGAGTCCACAGACTGGAATGTGCTATGTCAACCACATGGGGTGGACATCAACAACTTAAAGGACTGTGTCACAGAATACATCAAGTTCTGTGAACACACCACCGTTCCATCCCGGACTGTCCGCTGCTTCCCCAACAACAAGCCGTGGATTACCAGGGACCTGAAAGAGCTTCTTAACAAGAAGAAAGCAGCTTTCAAGTCTGGGGACAGGGAGGAACTCAGGAGAGTTCTGTGCGACCTGAAGGTGAAGATCAGGGAGTGTAAGAACTCTTACAGGAGGAACCTGGAGGCCAAACTCCAGAAGAACAACGTGAGGGAGGTGTGGTCCGACATGAAAGAGATCTCAGGCTTCAAGGGAAGACCGTCAACCAGCTCACAGCCCTCATGCCCTCATCTGTCTCCTCCTCACACCTGACCTCCCAAACACCTCTGCTGCCTTCCCCCCCCCCCCCCCCACCCCTCTATCTCCCCTGGTGAGCGGCATGGACTGTGAGGCCACTTCAAAGGGCCCTTCCCCCACTGACGCCGTGACCTCCCTCCCCCCCTCTCGGTGACGACTGACAAGGTTCGGAGACAGTTGAGGAGAATCCACCAACGCAAGGCTGCAGGACCTGATGGCATCAGCCCCAGGGTCTTGAAGACCTGTGCTTTCCAGCCTCTTCAACCTGAACCTGAAGTAGCAGAAGGTCCCGGTGCTGTGGAAGACGTTGTGCCTGGTTCCGGTCCCCAAGAAGACGACTCCATCTGGCCTTAATGACTATCGACCGGTTGCCCTCACATCCCATGTCATGAAGGTGCTGGAAAGGCTGGTCTTGGCCCGCCTCAGGCCGCAGGTGAAATCTTCACTTGACCCGCTGCAGTTTGCATACCAGCCTCGTGTGGGGGTGGATGACGCCGTCATCTACCTGCTGCAACGAGCTCAGTCGCACCTGGATGGAAAGGGTGGCTCTGTGAGAATAACTTTCTTTGATTTCTCCGGTACCTTCAACACCATCCAACCACTGCTACTGAGTGAGAAGCTGCGGGTGGTGGGGGTGGACTCGTCCACCGTCTTCTGGATCACTGACTACCTGACAGGCAGGCCACAGTTTGTCCGAATGGGCAGCGTGCTGTCTGATACGGTGGTCAGTGGTACTGGAGCTCCACAGGGAACTGTTCTGTCTCCCTTCCTGTTCACCTTATATACCACTGACTTCCAGTATAACTCGGAGTCCTGCCATCTGCAGAAATTCTGTGATGACTCTGCAGTGGTAGGGTGTATACGGGATGGATGGGAGGAGGAGTACAGGGCAGTAGTGGAGGACTTTGTGGTGTGGCCGGGAAGAAATCACCTGCTCCTGAACATGGCCAAGACCAGAAAGATGGTGGTCGACTTCAGGAGGAAGACGACTGCTCCACTACCGCTGAGGGTTCTGGGAGAGGAGGTGGTCATGGTCGAGGACTACAAGTACCTGGGTGTCTCCATTGACAACAGACTGAACTGGAAGACCAAGATCAACGCTGTCTACAGGAAGGGGATAAGTCGACTCTTTTTCCTGAGGAAGCTTCGATCTTTCCATGTGTGAAGCAAGATGTTGGAGATTTTCTATCAGTCTGTTGTGGCCAGTGCTTTGTACTTCGCCGTGGTCTGCTGGGGGAGCAGCATTGGAGCTGGTGACACCAACAGCCTTAACAAACTTGTTAAGAAGGCCGGCTCCATCATTGGCTGCAAACAGGACAGCTTGGAAAAGGTGTTGGAGGGGAGGTCACTGAAGAAAGTCAGCGTGGTTACATGGATTCGAATAACTGGCTTAGTCGGACTGAAATCGAATTATCCGTTTCGTGTAAACACCTTTGTCCGACTATGTGCGGTCCGACTACGATCAGACTAACACCCCTGGATAACTCGATCCGATCCAGTTGATAGTTCGACTATTGCGGCATGTGACGGTGAATCGGATAAGGAACTGGACTTTGCGTCTTTGCGCATGCTTGAGATCCCGACGGCGTCTTCTCTCCGTTATCAAATCAGCCAATAGCGCCATTCGCATTCGCTGTACTCCTATTAACATCATGCAAAAATAGTAGAGGGATGTGGCTTCACCTTGCTCTCCGTTTGCCATCTTTCTCGTAATGTTGTTGTTGGTAGTGGTGAAGCGGAAATTGTTGTAATGAAAACAGCGCCACCTAACGTATCGGATATGACGTGCTTTCGGCCAATGATTCGATTTATTCACTGCCATGTTTATTGGGATAATAGCACCTCCCCCCGGTGTGGCATAGTCCGACTAAGCAAAGATTCGAATTATACCACCATGTAAACACACTGACTGTTATCCATATTGGATAATCCTGACCACCCCCTCCACCACCTGCTACAGGGACAGCGGAGCACGTTCTCCAACAGACTCCTTCAGCTCCGCTGTCACAAGGACCGATACAGAAGATCCTTCCTGCCCAGTGCAATAACACTCTACAATAAATCATCTCTGACCAAATAACAATAATAACCCTGTACTGCTGTGATGTTGATGCTCTTCCTCTTCTCCTTTTACAAATTATTATTGTCTCTTTTTGAAGGTTATTCTTTTGTTTGTTTATTTTATTTAATATTTGTATCTTATTATATTGTATATAATGTGTATCTTTTTATTCTTCCCTGTACATGCTGCTATGATAACAAAACTTCCCTCTTGAGGGATCAATAATATATCTATCTATCTATCTACCCAGGAAGACTTGAGGCTGTAATTGCTACCAAAGGTGCTTCAAGTATTGAACAAAGGCTGTGAATAATTATGTACATGTTATGTTTTCGTTCTTTATTTTGAACCGATTTGCAAAAAACTGTTTTCACTTTGTCATTATGGGTTGTTGTGTGTAGAATGTTGAGGAAAATAAGAATAAGGCTGTATCATAACAAAATGTGGAAAAAGTAAAGCGCTGTGAATACTTTCCGGATGTACTGTATTTGTCTTCCTAGAGAGACCTGCCTGGACCTAATGTGTATATCTTCTATCTAGGCCTTTCTCCTTGGACCATTTTGATGATTACCAAAAGCACTTCACCGTCATGAACTATACTGGTGGTGTGGAGCTTAAGCAGGTATCTTTTTGCTCACACAAGCACAATTTATTTTCTGAAATCACTGTGTGACCAGCTGTCCTGATAGCCTGGTAGGTAAGGGATTATTAGAACAATTTTTATTCGCCACCCTGTTGACAGTTTGAGGTAACATGAAGCTGTAGTTGTTAACTGTTCTTGGTCCGTGATAAAAGGTTTCTCTCTGTTTCTAGGTGCATTACGATGAGTTCATCCCCATGTTTGAGAACCAGTACCCACTGTACCCATGGAAGGAGGTGGAAGTAAGTATCAGCTTTTAGAACAGGGCCCCCTGTTCTTAACATCCCAGGTGGTGGTGTGGTGAACTGAAGCCAGACGGTAGAAATTAAATCTTACAGGCCTCACCACACGTATTCTTCTTACACATTTATTTTTTAATTTAACTCCCACGTTACTTTTATAGGTAGACTTCTAACTAGTGAAGCGAGCAGTGTTCATTCTACTTGTACTAGTGAGCTACTCCATAAGCATTTTTTTTTTTTTTTTATTGTAAAAGACACCTCAAAAAGGAATTTTGTTCAATGTTTCATCAGCGCTTTGTGCTTTCCTCTGAGACAATCTCTGTGCAGTAGCTGATGGAATTATCATCATCTGTAAAATCACGTCAATCAGTTCAGCTAGAGTCAAACAGCTGCATCCTTTTTTAATAATCTTTCAATATTGTGCATTTATTATACAAGCTACAAGCTAAGTTTTCCTAAAGTTTTAGTTTTTCTGAGCTTTGATTCATTAGTTTATTATATAGGACAGATGAATACACACAGGAATACCGTTACATGGAGAATATCTGTGATTCATAACAATTCCTCATGGATTATATTTCAGTACTGAGCATTTCTCACCGACGCTGTCACAGCAGATTGGGATTTCAATGACCCCTGTGACCTTTCCCTGACCTGGGTATTTATCGTGTGGCAATCGTATTTGGCAGGTGACACCCCCTTCTTTTCCAACCCCTCACAGGCGGAAGTGTTCAGAGCGTTCAGGGAGTTCTTTGAGGCAGCCTCGTCCCGACCAGCTCCGTGTGGCGTGTGTCCCTACCAGTCATCCCGGGCCATCTACGCCGTGGATCTCATGCTGAAGTGGAGTACCGGGGAAAATGGTTAGCGGCCGTTCTTTACTTGATTCATTTGCAATACAAATACGCATCTACTAACCGTAAAACAAATGTTTTAGACATACTGTAACTTTGGTGTTAATTATTTTCACTCTTAAGGGATCAGAATACAAATTTTGGGGACCCCTTTGGTGAGGGATTAAACTCTGCCTGTTGAATGGTGTGAACATCTGAGTCTCGTTCCTGTATGGAAATCAAATATGCAGTGCCTGGTTCACGACCCAGGTGCGAGGTTTGTAGGGAGAGAGGAGGAGGTTCAACAGGAAATTTATGCGGCTCGGCTGTTACCGCGTAAGGTTGGGGAGCTGAAATGTACGGTGGCCCTGAAGTGCAAAACACAACGGCAAATAGGAAAACACATCGAAATTAACTCCTTCCGGAAAGGGTAGGGCCTTATAGCAGAGGACGGACCCTTCTGATTGAACAGACGGACTGACTGTCTTTTAACAGGAAATGATACAGGGCTCTCAAGTGTCACGCATTGAGGGTGACAGTCAGGCATTTTGGTCTCTTGTCACGCACTCCCGCCACACATAATTCCTCACGCCAAGGAATCGGACTCCGGTCCCCGAGCAGTGTCGGCCATAGCGTCCACGGTACCCTCCCACCCCCTTTTTATTTACAACACCTAAATGTAATTGAACAACAAAATACCGGTAAAACAATGGTGAAACACTAGTGGGACAGTTTTAAGACACTCGTAAAACATCGCCATCTCTCCGTGACTTTCTGCTGCGGCTTTCCTGCTGCGTCACTTCCACCCCTCATCACAGGCTCTCAGTCCCGCCACTGAGTTATTGATTGCCATAATATCAAGGAAGCAGCATTTCTCAGATTTCAGAATCCGATTGTGCAAATAGTTAAGAAGTCATGGTCATTTGAATCCTCCATGTCACTTTCCGTCACCGGCGAAAGGCTTCGGATTAAGAGGTTTAAAAGACAGACCGTCCGTCTGTCCAATCAGAAGGGTCCGTCCTCTGCTATCTGCTATAAGGCCCTACCCTTTCCGTAACAAGTTAATGTCGTTGTGTTTTCCTATTTGCTGTTGTGTTTTGCACTTCAGGGCCACCGTAGAAAGGAGATGGTTTTGGTCAAACTGTGGCAGCTGTAAGCACGTAGTTGGAATGAACTGGTCCGGTTCTGGATCAGAAAGGGTAATGAGTGAGCATCTGTATCTGTTTGCTATGTTCCTGGGGGGCAGATCCTGCTCCGTCTGGAACGGTCGCACAGCTGATGGGGCTTAAGGCTGGCACATGCACGGAGTCTATGATAAATAAATAAACCCACGACTTCCACACACAAAGACGTGACTCTCTAGGTCGTCTTCAACAAAAACACGTTACTCCACCTGTTGTTCTGGCGGTGAATTGCTCTGCAACACACGCAAGACTTTTAGAACCATGAATTGAAACGAGTGCATCAGCGCAACTGTGCGTAAAGACGCAGAAGCATGCGCCAGCATCCCTCACGCGGGACACCATTTTGTTGGGCACGACGTAGGAATAATGTGTTGGTTAATCATTAACATCGATAGAATTATTAATCAGGATCAGGAAACATTTATTAGCCAAAATATGTCAAACATACAAGGAATTTGTCTTGGCGATTAGTGCGCGACAGTAGACAGACAAGACAACAGTGCACAAGTAATAAAATAAAGTGGAATGAAATGCTAATGCAATGGGTTAGTAGAATAAGGCTAAGGCTATGGGTTAGTATAAAACAAGAGAATAAAGTTACAAAATATTAAAAAGTAAAAAAGAAAAATATTAAGCATAAAGTGCACTAACAGACAAGAGACAAAGTGACAAGTGACAAAGTGATGAATTGCAGTTACAGAACAAGTCCTGCAGGGACGGCAGATTGCAGCCGATCACCCTCTCTGCAGAGCGGATGACCCGCTGCAGCCTGCCCTTGTCCTTGGCTGTGGCTGCAGCGTACCAGACGGTGATGGAGGAGCAGAGGATGGACTCGATGATGGCCGTGTAGAAGTGGATAATAATTGCTAAGATAATTCATCTTTCTATCTTTAGCGTAGTGCTGGACAGCTTCCTGTGTCCTCAGCATAGTGCTGGACAGTGTCCTGTGTATTCTTTCAACAGAATCACCACAACAATCTCATCATATTAATCTATAGTGCATAAATTAATATTTAGATGATTTAGTTTCTAAACACAGCTTGGTGTTCTTTGGCCGGGTCTTTCTTCCTGCTTCTTACCAAGTGAAACTCTCCTGGATCTTAACTCTACTTTACCTGTCTTGATACGCAAAGTTGAGCATGTCTCACATTTTGGGGAATATTTTCAAGAGCTGCTCATGCCTTTAAACAAAAAAATGTAAATTCATCAGGGTTCATTTTTCAAACTGCGAAACTAGAAAGCTATTGTGATGAGTTTCCCCTTCTATTGAATGGCCACGTGTTTCTGTTCCTCCGTGGCTAGAGCAGATGCAAATGCTCTGACACAAACCGTCTGCTTCCTCCTGTGAGTTGTTGGAGCAGAGGGGGCTGTAGCTCATGGTAACACTTGGACATAACCCAGTATTCTATGGGTTAGACAGTCACACACAAGTCCTTCCTCATTGTTGGAAGGAAAACCAACACATCGCGACAAAGATTTACATATCTGTTTAGCCGAGAGCCTGTTTTGGTCAGTTTGGTAGGTCCATTAAATGGTTCCTAATATTGAAGCACCAACTGATCAGTGTGCGGTAACCTTAGGGTTTGTATATATAACATTTGCATTGTGGAGCATTTGCATCAGCTCCACCCATGGAGCAAGAACCAAATAACCATATCTACACAAGTTAATAACAGCCCGATCTTCCCTCATGGTACTTTGTGCGAGCTCAAGGTTGACACACTACAAGTACATTCTTCTATTGTCTCCTTAGAAATACTATTTTGAAACCAGCGATAACACAACCTTTCTGAGATGATGGATCCATTACACTTGTAAGGGATCAGGACTGAGACTCCGGCGCAGAGGAATGAAGTGACAAAACCACTACTTTCCAGGTTTAGGAACACCTACTGGCTTGACACGTAGAAAAATTGGGGGTCGGAGGAAGGATAACCCGACATGGATTGAGTGACTGATTGGGTCTTAAATTTAGGTGGGGGTGATGGTTAACTGAATTCAGCTGTAAGAACAGAAAACTAAACAAAGACAAGAAGTAAAGTGGTTTGTGAGGGCTAGGTGTTTGGTATATGGTAAATGGTCTGTACTTGTATAGCGCTTTTATAGTCTTCCGACCACTCAAAGCGCATTAACGCTACAGGACATCATTCACCCATTCACACCCATTCATACACTGATGACAGGCGAACCATACACAGTGACACCTGCCCATCAATAACTAACATTCACACACTAGTCGCAGCTACAGGAGCAATGTTGGGTTAAGTGTCTTGCCCAAGGACACATCGACATGCGGGTTAGCCGGGCCTGGGATCGAACCCTCTAATTGGAGGACGACTGGGCGGACGGAACGGCCGACGAGGGGGGGGGGGGGTAGTAGTCGCTGTGTGCGGCACGACCGACGGGGGGGTAGTAGCCGCGCGCTCTGTGTTCGCTGGCCGTGCACGGTAAAAGGACAAGAAAAACGCCTGCTTGCGTTGAACAAGCACAGTTTGCTTTAGGTTCCGGGTTTGAGGGTTATACCACGGAGCAGACTTCCTTCTTGTTGCTATTCTTCTTTCCAGAGGAGCAATAGCGTCCAGCGCCACTCTCAAAGAGCCTGTAGCAGCATAGACAAAATTAGCAATCTGGGACGGACTGAAGTTCTCACAGGAGTCTTCTTGTATCTTGAGGCAGGGCACTGAACTTGGAGGAGAAGGAATAGCTTCTTTAAATGAGTCTACAGCGGTATCCGATAAGCGTCGACTGTAGAAACTCTTGGCAGGAGGAGGAAATTCCGATAGTAGAAATTCAAAGGTTATCAGACAATGGTTCGACAGCAGAGGGTTCTGTGGAAAAATTGTTAAATCCTCAATCCCAATCCCATACACAAGAACCAAGTCGAGAGTGTGGTTAAAACAGTGAGTTGGTTTATTTACACACTGACAGAAACCAATTGAATCTAACAATGAAAGGAATGCAGTACCAAGGCTGTCGACCTCTGCCTCGTTTCTCGGTGTCGAACTTTAGCTTGCAGCAATTGGTGGCTATAAGAGTGGCGCGCTGATAGAAAGCGGCCACTCCTCTGATTGACCCGAAAATCCGATAACTGGCACAGTAGTCTGTCGCGACGAACTTAAGTAGTTTGAGTGAGAAAGACAACTTCCTTAAGAGTAGGGCTTACAGCTACAAGGGCGAGTCGTATTATGCCAATTTCTTAAGTCGTGCGTTTTTATGTTTTCGCCAGCAGCGGAACTACTTTATAGTCACTGTGTAACTTATCTTGTTAGCGTTAAGATGAGTTCTAATATCGATTATATTCCTTTTTGGAGATAACTCGTATTTGTTCGGTACACACAATATTGCTTATCTTCCCCACAATATCTAACGCGGATGATGATGAAGTAGGGTTAGTTAAGACGTTACCTTTTGTGATACTTATTCTAACACTTTCTTGAGTGAAGGAACCTCTTTGATTAAGTTCTCACCCGGGACCAATATGTTTGACCTATAACCCCTCCGTGAGTGAGCTCGTCCTTACATACCGATTAGGTCCCTAATGCCCTTGGGGTATGACTGGTACCTCTACGTATCAAGATATGGGCACTCACCAGTGTCTGCAGTTTATGAAGTGGTGTTCTTGTCATTCAGCCTCTTGGAGGAGGCCCCTCAGTGGAAAGGAATCTCACCAACCGCAAAGATAAATTACTTGTATGTTTGACATATTTTGGCAATAAATGTTTCCTGATTCCAGAAACAAATGGTCTTTTGTTCCCCAAAAAGGAGCATTTTTATTTATATAAAAAGCAAAAAGGGTATAGAAATTGAAATTGATATAGAAAACAATATCAGAGCCAACTATATCAGGTCCAGCATTATCAGGTTTCTCTCTCTCTAATATCACTAAAACATATCAGTATATATCACTGTTAATTTTGGCAGCTATTTTTGATTTAGTCTGTCTTTAGACGAAAAATGTATATTAGTTTTAGTCACATTTAGTAATTTTAATCCTTCTTAGTTTTAGTCTAGTTTTCGGCAACGAAAACTAGACTAAAATATAATTAGTTTTAGTCTAGTTTTAGTCACATTTAATAGCCATATTAAACTCCTTTTCTTCCCTTCTCAGGCCCACTTAGCTATTTTTCTTCATTTTGATTCAATTGTACCCATTTATTCATTCCATCAGTCCTGCTGACCGTGGCTGATAAGAAACAATGTTTTACATTCATCACAAAAATAGATTTGTTCTTACTCTCCGGTATCTAAAACGTTGGTATAACTTCTCTGTTTAGGCCTTTGCCTTTGTTAAAACATCTAGTGTATTGTTAAACACATTTAAATCAATTTAGAAAACATCTCTGTGATTTTCAGACAATATTCCTTTTCTTTTCCATGATTTAGTTCAATCAAATCCATAGTAAGATTCTGGTAACTGAAACTTTTGGATTGTGCTTTACACAAGCAATGCATGACATGCGTTTTTTCTCTTTTTATTTTAGTAGTTAGTACTGCTAAACATTGTACACGCATCTTCATCACTCCTGCGGAGGCATGTATTGATTTAAAACATGGCTCAAAAATAGCCAGAGCTCCTATATGAAACCTAATCAAATATCCAAATCACCTCAAGACCTCTTTGGCAATATCTCAAAATTGTGTTTTTCCCCAAAACAAATGTCCTTCCTGCTGTGCTGCATTAGTTTGCATGTTTATTTTTATTTGTTCTAATCATTTTTTATTATATTTTAAATCCTTGATTGAATTGTTGCACTTAAAAAGAAAGTAGATCAGGGCATTTGTGGTTTCCTGAAAGTTACGATATATTTAATCAATCTGTTAGTTGATGTCATAAAATCCCCTCTACAATCCGCTTGTTCATGTAAAGGTTTTGTAGAATTCCAGTAACGATGAGCTTATTCTTTTCAACTGAAAAGCAAAATAAAAATGGATTCTCTTTATGTCCTGGTATTCAAGAAAAATGCATAAATTTAATTATATGACGAAGATATAATTGAAGTCAGGATTAACTTCATTCAACAGTGTGTGTGTGTGTGTGTGGTTCATGTATTTGCTTGAGTTACTCCAAGTGAGGAGGAATAAAACCTTCAGCCTGTCTTATTGCCCCCACCGTTTCTCCCACACATCTTCTCACTGCTGTGACCTTGTTACTCCCATAAAACCCTTGCTGTTTCAACGGAGATTTATTGCGCTTATTCTAGCCGTTGTTGCTTTAAAGAATGCCTGTGCGTATCTTTTTTTTTTTCATGGCATGTATACAATTCTACTCTTTCCACGTTTCCATTTAATTCAGTTCTTAGTAACTTATTGCTGACCTCTTATACCATTTTGGATCAAAATGGTAGTAATAGCTTGGTTTTAGAAACTCTTTCACATAGCAGTTACTTATGCATCATTACAACAACTTTCATTCACTCCGAATAAACAAGATAATTAGACAATCCTCTATCAATTTATATTTGATCTATTATTTATTCATATCTTTCTCCTTTGCTACATCAACTCTGTTAATTCACTTCTTGCACTAGACGTTTCTAACTGTCCGGGTGTGACGCTGTCAATGATCACACAACTTTATAAGATTTCTTTTCTTTGCACAAAATCTCCATTTATCTGCTAGCTCCGCATGTGCTTGGTCCCTCCCTTGTCTTATCATAGTAAGATGGCTCTGCAGCTACAGGCTTGTTGGTTAAGAATCTGTCTCCCATTCAAACACATCTTTCCTGCATCTGCCACTTTACATATTTTCTGTTACACAGCTTTTGATTATCAGGGTGGAGGTGTCCTCGAACTCCACTAGGGGCTAGGAGAACGTCATCTCAGAGAACCTCTCTCAGGGATGTTGCTGTATTCCGGCAAAAGTTGTAGAGCAGTTCCCTGGACTCTCAGAACTTGTGAAGGGCATTTTAAGTGTATTCTCCCTAGTTCAGTTGAATGCGTACAGTTGTTCCCCCTGTGGATGTCTGTTTGGAATACGAACCTTTTCATAACCTTTTCTGTTCCCTCTCATCTGTGTGCTTCCTGATCCTTCGTCCTAGGTGAGCGAGTCATACAGCCTCAGAAACTTGAGATGAACTTCAGCCCAGACTGTGCCAGGGCCTGCCTCTACCACCCCTCCTTCTACAACCACATATTCCAGACACTGTTCCTGGATCAGCCCGAGCACTGTCCGGTCACACCAATTGTCTAATTGTCTCCAATTTGTCTTCTGCCTTCTCTGTACCAGGTTTACCATCTCATATTAGGACACTTCTGAACGTATTACCTTTTTTTTAATGAATGTATTACACGGTTGTCTTATGTACCTGATGTTTTTAGAAACTTGGTGGTTATAAACTAAGGACTCCTGTACAAAATGAGAAGCAATAAAGGCTGTTGCTGATAAACTGGATTTATCATAAATGTGAGGCAAATAATCGCTGAGTTAAACTTAGGTATTCATTTTCCCTCCCTGTGGCTTCAAATGTCAGCTGAGCAGAAGACCTGGGAGGTGAAGAGGCCACAGTGCAACATGCTGACAGGAGGCGGATCTCCAAGCTCCGATTGGGGGAGGTGATAAAGGGGATATTATCCTGTGCAGGTGCTGCAGCCACTAGGAACGTGGCATTGGTCACACCTGCGGGCAATCAGCTAATTGGAGGGGGAGGATACATCCAGGGAGCAGAGCGGACAGACGGACGGAGGGAGACTGAGGAGCCCCCCACCCCCTAACAGGACGAAGGAACCGTGGACAAAGTGGAGTAGACTGGAGTTGCTAACCAGGAGCGGGAGAACTATTTCTGTTGGCCTAAGCGACCGTTATTTTGACCGTGTTATTAAAAGGACCCTTTTTGTTGTATAATTACTGCCTCCAAGCCTCCGGTTTTATACCTGAATCTGGCCTCCTTTCCCCGGGTTGCCACAACATCTTTAACTTTAAAGAGCATAGAGCCACTACAGACAACATTTATATGGATTTCATTTCAAAGCGCAGCTACTTACTGGATACACTGTTGGATTAGAAACCTCTCTCCCACTACTTGAGACGTTGCATTGTTTTGGCTGGTACCTCCTCATCTCCTCCCCCTCAGCATGAAGGTCAGAGCTGTGAAGTGTATTCCTCTAAAAGAAAACACCGATGCAGCCGGTTCTAGCCAGTCTGTTTTCACAGTGACCTCAGTGACCCAGAACGGTTTCCCCTTAAATGGCTGTTCAACACCGTAGTTGTCTTTTCAACATGAAGTGACGATAATGAAGAACCTCAGATCAGCAACACACCTGAACTCAAATAAGGAGATAAAAACAACGTGCTGTCGATTCTGCAGACAGACCGCGATGACTGGTGTATGAAGCCATATCTTATGATATTTCTTCATTCTTGCCTTTACCTCAACACTTAATAATATGCTTTAAGACATTTATTTACACACGTAATACATCGTACTTTGTACGTTACAGAGAATAATTATAAAGAATTCTTTATTCAAATCAAGCAAGGGTCTCTAGGCTTAACCTAGTGATTTTCGTCCTCCGATGTTCTGTGAGGGATGTTCCTTAATCTCCAGAATATAAGTTCAAACAAGAATTCGTAAGAATTTGTTGAAGTGTTCAAACTTTGTTCGCATTTTTCCCGTTTTTCTCTGAAAAATCAGTTTTTGATTTGAAGTATATGAAACCTTGTTCGCTCTGAGCCTTTGAGTTTTATTTTTATGTTCCTCTGGGTAGGGGGATGAACGGAGGACTGCGAGGAGCCCCTGGGCCTAGGCTAAGGCAAATCACTACCGACACCCCTCATAACAAACGGGGAGGGATAGGGATGTGTTCCAGACAATATTAATTTATTAAATTTAGATTTCTTTATGTCTGATATATGTATATATAAAAATGTCAATGAATCGGATCAGATCTATTTCTAACGATGAAGGGGAGCATATATATATCTATATATATCTATATATAGATATATATAGATATAGATATACACACACACACACACACAGCATGAACTGACACGTTGGCCGACCAATCATAGGCGCCCTTAGAACCCACCAATCAGAGCCCGCCCAGAGCTTCATATATATTCCTTGGGTTTGCTTCCTCTCCCCAATTTGAGCTCAGGGACTAGAAGCGCAGCAGAAAACGCGAACACAACGAGGTCAGTTGTACAAATCTCGTGGAAGTTAATCCCGTGGACGCTTGTGGACCGGGGACATGCAAGCTCCCTCCATAGCGGGACGATATAACGTCCAGGGGCGCAGCCGTTTGTGTGGGTCTTAGAGGAAGCGCAGAGGAATGTCTGTCGTTAGGTGAGATGCGGTGACACGGTAAGTGAAGTTGGTTGCGGAAACCTAAAGACGTGTTAAATAAACGTGTTTTTCAGGTGATTAACCCGCCATATTTCTGAATGTGGGCGTGCGTATCGGAGCGGAACTGCCGCGATAGATGGATAGGGCGCGCGCGCGAGAGACAATTGTATTTCCTTTAACGGAAACAACGTTTTTTGTTTTAAACCGACTTTTCACTTCCGTAAATTGGCTCGTGCCTACCGCAAACCAAACCGCAAGTACGAAGATTCTTCTAGTAAAAGTCATGCGATGCGAGCATATATCAGGTAACATAAGAAACAAGAGTTTATTAATTAACATCAATAAATCATTCTAGTCCGATGGGAGTGTAATGACTACACGCAGATTCATTTTTATTAATCCATGTATAGCCTACAGCGGTTATTTAATCAACGTACATCATTATTTTTCACACTTCAATCCCGAATACAATGGTTAAAGGATGAGAAGATCAAACGCTGTGTTCCAAGGAAAGTTACTTCGGTTTTATTGCCGTCAGATTTGTTACTATTTGTTTTTGTTCAACGTTAGATCTTCTCATTCTTTGACCTCTTCGGTTTTACCACAATTATTCTTAATGTTTAATACAAAAGGTCTCTTTTGAATAGTCATTGTGTGTTTCATTGTGGACACATTGGAACAGCCATGCGTGTAAAAATAACAACGAAATGTATTTTTTTTTAAAAGGTTATTTTCTTTTATTAATAAATTGCACACTTTTCAGTTATACTGGTGGGGGAAACGCTAAACTACATAGCATCAAACCGATTTTAGTATCGAGTGCTGCTGGGAGAGACGGGCGTCTCGGTCCGCTACCAGACGGCCGGGCGTCGCTGTGGGATAGCTGTGTTTTAGGTGAGATTTTAGGTTCGTTGTGTTGCCTCTTTTCGTTTTGTTGCCACGGTTTGTGGTTTGTGCGGATGTGCGTGTGTGCCCACTAAAGGCTGGCGCATGCTTCTGCTTCATGGTTCTAAAAGTCTTGCGTGTGTTGCAGAGCAATTCACCTCCAGAACAGATGGAGTAACGTGTTTTTGTTGAAGACGACCTAGAGAGTCACGTCTTTGTGTGGAAGTTGTTGGTTTGTTTATTTGTTTATCATAGACTTTATTTCCCCGTGCATCGCCACTGCTGCTTTCATCGTGGAAACCTTTGTCCCGCATTTTCCTCCTGTCGGGATCTCTGATCCCCCCCGAGTTGGTTGATGAGAAGGATCCAGCACGCTGATCAATTAAAGTTAACATTTATTTAGAAGATAAAAAGATGAGCATTTCTCCGCAGATGTCTGGCTCTAACTATTGCTTGCAAGCAGGAGGTCAAACACACGTATTCCAGCGTTCTGTGTAATGGCGTCTCCGAGCAGAGTTTTTATACACATGAAGACCGTCCTCAGGGCCAGTTACGAGAAGCCACAAATCAAGTTGAGATAAGAACTCCGGTGAAGATGAGGGTAACGCACAATGCTCCTTTGATCGACGGTCTGTGAGAGCAAGGTAACCACCTTCTTCAGACACCGCTGCAAACCCTAAATCTTTCTGTCTCTGCACATTTGATAAGATTCAACTTTATTGTCATTGCACAGGGTGCAAGTACTGGGGCAACGAAATGCAGTTTAACATCCAACCAGAGTGCAAAATAGCAAAAAGTGCAGAGTATGTGCATATGTAAAGTGTAATAAGTTAATAAATAGATATGTACAGTAAGAAATAGTTATGCAATATGAACAGTAAGAAATGGATATACAATAACAGTGCAAATGTTCAGTGGCTGGAGGAGGGTGTGGCAGTCAAGCCAGGGTGGAGGGGGGGAAGTACAGTCACTGAGGGAGGTGTGCGTGCGTGCGTGCGTGCGTGCGCGCGCGCGCAGAGTTCAGCAGAGTGACAGCCGCAGGGATGAAGCTGTTCCTGAACCCGCTGGTCCGGGAACGGAGCACCCTGTAGCGCCTCCCAGAGGGGAGGAGGGCAAACGGTCTGTGGCTGGGGTGAGAGCTGTCCTTTTCGATGCTGCGTGCCCTCCGCAGACATCTCTTGCTCTGGACGGCCTCAATGGTGGAGAGTGAGAAACCGGTGATGCGTTGGGCAGTTTTCACCACCCTGATTTGCAGTGATTTACGGTCCGCGACAGAGCAGCTGCCATACCAAACTGAGATGCAGTTTGTAAGGATGCTCTCTATGGTACAGCGGTAGAAATTCTCTAGAATCTGAGGAGACAGATGGGCCTTCTTCAGTCTCCTCAGGAAGAAGAGACGCTGGTGTGCTTTCTTTACCAGGGATGAGGTGTTGAGAGATCCTCAGAGATGTGGACATCCAGGAACTTGAAGCTGGCGACACGCTCAACCTCCATCCCGTTGATATGGATGGGGATGGGTGTGCCAGTTTTCTTCCGGGCTATGAAAGCGGAAATGTGAGACTCCGTAAAGGATGTAGTTAGCGGACCAATCACTGCGGGAGGCTTGCGTCGCTTTCGATGCAAGCCTAGAAAAATGTGTCGACGCACGCAAGGAGGTGTGAAAAGGCACGCAAGGGACACGCGTCGCTCTGAAAGCGCAGAAGCATAAACTAGGCTTAAGCCTTGCTTAAGAGGACTAAAATGTTTGACAGATTTAAATGTAAAAATTGATCTACTCTATCGCACCACCAAATATTATCACTCATTTTCATACATTGTACGATTGTTGGTGTAATATGGTTGTTTTGTATTTGTAGAAAGAACATTACAGAAGACTACATTTCATATAAAACTTAAGCGGCTGAAAACGTTCGTTGATTCCCTCTCCCTAAATGAACTTATGGTTTAACTTTGGCTCAAGGAGTCTCAAGCGATGAATTGTGTAGGTGTTGTTTTCTGTCGCGTTGTCATAACTCTGAAGAATTTTGGGACAAAGCAATCGTCTGCAATAATTTTACTACTTGTTGAAAAAATGCCCCATCAAAATTTACTTTAATCATTTTTACAAGTCAGCCCTTTAACATATCCTAACCGATGTTGTGGACCCAGGCCTGGTGTATTTTGCTTTACAGAACCAATATTGGCAGTAAGTTAATAGACTGCCTTGTGTCTAAAGGCCTACGTCTTCACTTCTGGGAGCCCCAGCTGTATGTCCAGGATGCACCTGCCCTCTTGCCCATTGTTGGCGGGGATAACTTCCAGGCCTCTGTGATCCTGCATATAATAAGCAGTTACAGATTAGAGGTTACAAATATTGGAACAAGTTGGAAGCTGGACGTTCTGCACTGCGCCGTCTAAAGTGCCGCTGAGTGTGAAAAGTGGCCGGTGGAAAGTTCCTTTTTCAGAATGGCACAAGCCGATCTCCATTGGGTATTTAGCAACATAGACCACCCTCCTCCTCATGAAAATGCAGTGTAACGCTGTTTTCTATTTGCAGACTTTTTCCGCGTGACGGGGGAACACCCATGTTATAATGATGGGGAAACACTGAACTGGCTGCGGTCGGTTTCTAAAATATTGGCCAAATGACCCGTTTCAGGCTTTATGAACAACTACAGAATCCCTTTTTGTT